TCCACTCTCTGTACTATTTAAAAGTTGTGTGTTTGAAACACAATTATTATCTTGCAAAATTTAAAGCAGCAATGCAAACCAAAAAAATTGCCGGCCCTACTGGTCGGCCTGTCACTTGAGTTCAGGGGGACAGTCTGGCTGCTGGGTGGGGGTGAGCCTTCTTTGAATGCCCTCCAGCTCTGCACAGGCTGCCTCGATACGTGTGATGGTCGGGTAGGCCGACATGTTCCCACTTTGAACTCTGAGAGTTGCATCAAAGCAGCAGTTTCAGACCCTTATCTCCTATTCTATATTCTTCCTTTCTAACTAACCTCCTCACCTTTCCCTTACTATTTCTAAATCTTACTCTAAAAACTCATTCCTAAAAAGACCTAGATAAACTCTCTCTAATAAAACTTTGTGCCTTAACATTGGTTATATTATAGAGACTACCATTAGCATTTGTATACTTGTGGAAGCACCATCAGTTCAGCCATTGTCACCTGTTCAATTGATAAAAACCGGGAGAGTTGGCTTTAACAAGATAAAGTAATACTATACCTCGTCGTCCCACAATGTATTTCCGCAGTTGTTTCAGCAATTTTCTCCAAACCTGGTGCATGCGTAACTTCCTTACAGTACTTCATATATCTCTACTGGACCCACTGTTGAGCCTAGTTTCTATCAGTGTCTTCCCACTCAAGCGCCTTTTTCTTCTCGTCTCCAACAACTGATCACTCGAAAATTTCTGCACTCACAAAAACATACTTGCTTTTTATGCGCACCACTACGGCGTCACATTTTATGGTTTTTTTATTATCCTGAATAGGCTGGATGCCACAGGCTATACATTGAGACACTGCTCGAACCTAAGCATCAATTATAAAAGGTATGCGATGAGAGAGCGTATTTACGTGGTTACTTGCTGTCTCCTGGGTGGTCATCACGTGGCCTTAGGTACGGAGGGGCCTTGTGTCTCATCTAGATACTCCACATGGCATCTATTTAACACAGCGCAGTAATACTATAACTGCTCTAATGGGGGGGGGGGGGGGGGGGTGGGGTGGGGTGGGGGGGGGGGGGGGGGGGGGGGGGGGGAGGGGGCGAGGGTGGGGGGAGGGGGTGGGGGTGGGGGGGGGGGGGGGGGGGGGGGGGTGGGGGGGGGGGGGGGGGGGGGGGGGGGGGGGGTTGGGTGGTGGGGGTGTTGAGGGGGGGGTGTGGGGGGGGGGGGGGTTTGGTTTGGTTGTGTTGGGTGGGGGATGGTTTGGTGTTTGGGGTGGGTGTGGTTTGTGGGTGGGTGTGGTGGGGGTGTTTGGGGTGGTTGTTGGATTGATTTTTTGTGGTGGGGGTGGGTTTTGGTTGTGGCTGGGTTGGGTTTTGGTTGTGTTTTTGGTTTGGTCTTGGTTTTAAGGTTGGTTTGGGTTGTTGGTGGTTGTTTTATTTTGTTGATTCTTTTTGGGGTGTTTTTTGTTTTGTGTGTGTTTATGTGGGGGGTTTTATGTTTGTTTTGGTTTTGTCTTTTTTTTTGTTTTTTTGGTGTGTGTTTGTTTTTTGGTTTCTTTGTTGTTGTGGTTTTATTTGTGTTTTTTTTGGTTTTGTTGTTGGGTTGTTGAGTGTTTTTTTTTATTTTTCTTGTAGTTTATTTTTTTTTTTGTTTTTTTGTCCTTGCTGCACATACTCACAGATAGACTTCGTGAGATAAGTGTACCACAAGTGTCCACATATCTGATGTTACATTGTGTGTGGGGGAACCTCACACTGCGGATTGATGGCTTTGTACGAGTCAGCAAGGCTGTTGGATTGGAGGTGTTTCAGTTGTTTCTTGTGAGTGTTATTCTACAGTAGTATAAACCTGCTCTCCACCGTCTTTGAGCAGGTGAACTGCTCTGTACTCGTACTCTATCCCCTTCAGAGCAAGAGCTGAGTGGAAAGAGACACGAGTCGTCATAGCTATGACTGTGACACGCTGTAACGCACCAATTCGGACTCTCCACGAGCAAGTGCTCCTGAAGTAAGAATACAGCACGGGCTGCGGAGAGTGCAAGAACGTTTGCACAACAAACCATGCGGCGAGGAGCAGATAGTACTGACCTTCATGTTTGCAGCCATTTTCCGTCTCTGCGCCTGCGCACACATCGCACTACAAGCCCCGCCTATTTTTACACCCACGTGTACGTCTCTACCTATAACCCTCCTTCTTTTTGGCCGAGAGTTCTAGTAGACATGGAGCTAAGGAGAAGATTGGAAGGCTCTCAGCCAGTGTCGCGGCATGTCCTCCATTCTCCCGAGGAACCTCCCGTTCGATCGAGGGCCGTCCTACAGCGCCGCGTGTTCCGCTCTCCGCTGGACTGCAGCGAGCGGTGGTACTGGACCGGCCTAGCTGTCGTCACGCTAGCCTCCGCCCTCACCAGGTTCTACTCCATCACGGAGCCTCGGCACGTCGCGTGAGTTCCCCCAAACACGCTCAGCGCGTCAAAGAACATCCTGGCTCTTTTCTCTGTCCATAATACTGCATGCATCTACCGCTCGAATCTCTTTGTCTTTTAGGTGGGACGAGACTCACTTTGGGAAGCATGCCAGCTGGTACATTCAAGGCCAGTTCTTCTTTGATGTCCACCCTCCCCTTGGAAAGGTCCTGACAATGACTGATGAATGTCTTGTATTGCTTTTGGCTACCCTCGGCATGTTTCCTGTTTCGTGTCTTCGATGAACGAAGACCCACTGCGTAAACATCGTGAACTGTTTGTGTGTCCGTGTAGCTCGTAATTGCCATAGCGGGAGTCCTGACTGGCTACAACGGTTCGTTTGAATTCAAAGAGCCCGGGCAGAAATACGACGACACGCCCTACATTGGGATGAGAGTGGTGAGTTGGACTTCATTCCAAGCCCCCCCTCCTCCTCATCCACCTCCTCCTCTCTTCAACCGTTCTATGGTTGTTGACAGGTGTGTGCTCTGATGGGGCTACTCCTGGTTCCCCTCTGTTACCTCACCGTCTGGGAGCTGGTCAAATCCACCACTGCTGCTTTCATTACTGGCATGATGCTTGTCTGTGGTAAGCTCTCCCTCTCTCCTTCCCCTCTCTCCCTTCCTTCAATTTCTCCTCCAACCTTTCTTTCACGTTCTCTCTCTCACTCTTTGTTCTTCCTCTCTCCTACTCTTTCCTCTTTCTCTCTCTTCCTCATCCTCTCTGTCAGCAGTAATAAACACACTGTTGGGGGTGATTTTCAATGTGTACGTTGTCAAAATTACCAACGTTTACTTTTCCAGCACATCAACACAGAACCTGTACTTATACATACACCGTCTTTGTCAAAACAGGCTACTACTGCACTAATATCCCACTTTCAGAAACCGGGACGCTGGTTCTCTCCCAGTACATTCTGCTGGACCCTCCACTGCTGTTCTTTATAATGGCCGCTACCTACTGCACTGCACGCTTCATCAACTGCAGAGACGAGTGAGCTAGCTATATACAACTTTTCTAGATACAAATTTTTTTACCTGAAGATGGTTCTTGTCATAAGAAAGGGCAACTTTTGTCTAAAATTGTAGCCCAGTTCTTGTTGCACTGGACTCCTGATTCATTTAGTTGTAGACAAACTCCTCTGACAACTTACATCAGGTCTACTCAACAGAACTCTCTAATTGTAGAGAAAGGTTCTGCTCGCTTGAAGCTCTCTAGAATGATACGATTTACTGTGTGATAGTGTTGTCTGTACGATGATGTTGTAGGCCATTTGATCTGGAGTGGTGGTACTGGTTGACCCTCTCCGGGATGTTCATTGGATGTTCCTTCAGGTGAGAGGAGAGCCTGTGGCACCTCTTGGCTCAATACCACCTCTTTCTACTTGCCTACCTACCCTCCTGCCTCCTTCTACACCCACCATTTCTCAACCCTCGCTTCCTACCCTGTTCCTTCTTGTTCACTTTCTTTACCTCCCCTCCCTCTTCTTCTGCTCCCCCTCTGCACACACTGCAGTGTAAAGTGGGTGGGGCTGTTTATCATAGCTCTGGTTGGCCTGACAACCGTCAAGGACCTCTGGGACCTGATGGGAGACCTCAGACTCTCAGTGGTCAGCCACTAGCCTATGTCACATGAGTCTCACGTGACTGTCATGTGACCTAATAGGCTCAGATACAGAAGCACTTCCTGGCGCGAGCAGTCTGCCTCATAATATGGCCAATTCTCCTCTATTTCTCCGTCTTCTGCTTCCACTTTCTGGTCCTCAGTCACAGGTACTTTACACCTCGGCTTTTTTCTCCACACACACCCACTCCTTACCTAAATTAATGCTCTCAATTTCCACTTTATCTCAATTTTATCTCAATTTTCAGTGGTAATGGTGATGGGTTCTTTAGCTCTGAGTTCCAGTCGACACTAGTCGGAAACGATCTCTATGATCAGAAAGTCCCAGAGTGTGAGTTGTTCTGTGATTCTTAGCGTAGGACCACTGGACTGTCGGTGGAATTTCAAAAGTGTTTTATTTATGTCCCCGAGTGTAAGTTTCTACTCTGCCTGGTGTAATATAATGGAGATCGCTTCAAAAGTGTGTTGTTTTTTTTGTATCCCAGAGTGTAATGTTTCCATGGGATCGCCCCTATGCTCTGTCCCTCCCCCCTCTCCCTCCTCAGATGTGGCCTATGGGTCAGTGATAACTCTCAAGAACAGGAGGGGAGGAGGAGGACTCCTCCACTCCCACACTCACCTCTACCCCGAGGACCTCGGCGAGTACCAGCAGCAACAGGTCTGACACTGAACTCTAGCACACCACGTATATACCATTTCTCTGAACCATTACTGTAATATTATAGTTCAGAGAAATGATACATTACAGACATTACATGACACTGTGTACTCCAATATTACTTCATCTTGACATAAGGTTCTATTTGTTCTCACATGTATAATTATACAGAAAAGGCCATTGCTACGATAATGTACATGATTCTCCACACGTATAGATAACTGCCTACACACACAAGGACGACAACAACAAGTGGCTGGTCAAGAAAACCAATTCTCACGCTCCTCTTCCAGGTGGGTCCCATTCCCATGTTTCCATACTCTGATACGCCCACGTCCCCACTCCCCTGTTCCAGGTGCCAACTCCTCCATTGAAGACGTGGAGTTTATACGGAACGGAGACCAGATTGTTCTGGAACACGTTATGTATGCATTACATAATACTCTGTACACTTCACCTATACTTAATACATTAGAGCATAATACTGTATGTATAGTTTTCATTGGTGGACGATTAGAGGCGTGGTAGGTTTGGGAGAGCGAAAAAGAGGCGAGAAAGAGTAGGACAGCAGAGTGTGTTATGTTATAATTCCACAGGACAAAACGCAACCTGCACGCTCACCATCAGAAGGCCCCCATGACACCTACTCACTATCAGGTGACAGGGTATGGAGAGGTGAGTTTAACCCTTCTCTTCTTGTCTTTTCTTACTACTTATTAACCCTACTCATGGCTCTCTATCTCATAACTTTGACTCTCACTTGCCCTTTTGTTCATTCTCTCTCCCTCCCTCTCTCTCTCTCTCTCTCGCCCTCTCTAGAATGGAGTCGGTGATGCAAACGATATATGGGTGGTCGAAATACTTGGTAGCAGCGGGAGTGGTAACCATGGTGACCAGGTTCGAACTGTGACCTCTGTGTTGAAGCTGCGTCACTTGAACCTCGGCTGCTATCTTCACTCCCACAGCACCCAGCTTCCCAAATGGTAGAACGGAATGAACGTTTGAGTTAGTAATTTGTGTGTGCTAATTGCAGGGGCTGGGAGCAGCTGGAGGTGACATGCAATCCTCAGGCAAGCGACCGAAACAACCTGTGGAATGTGGAGGGAAACGTTCACGACCTCTGTGAGTTTCCATGGAAACCAGTATTACCGTATAGCTCTAAAGATTTGCGTGACGAAATCAAACTAAAATAGCTTTAGCCAGGTCCAGTGCTAGTAAACACCCTGCTTTAATTATATTCATGAGTTGGGGAAAAGTGTGGCACCGCCTTAGTCTTTCTGCGCTTACATGGACGGGGTCATGAATATGATTAGTGGCGGTGTTAGAAAATCGGTTGGTGTATTGGTGGGAGAGCTGCTGAGGTGGGGCAGTCTCTGGGGATTTGGACCTCACCTGATGTTGTTTATTTCCTCCTCTCTCTCGTCATTATCATGAGATTCTTATGAATGGAATATCACTAAAGTATGGTGGTATGATGACGCAGGTCATCCAGCATTATGCCCATACATTTCGGATTATCACATAGACAGTAATATGTATGGTGCACTGGTTCCCCATTATTCAGTGATGCACTAAAGATTTACACTCAAATTACTGAAACTCTAGGATAGTATTTTTTGCGAGGTTGGCTGATAATGAACATCGATCCTTTTTATCAATCTTTCTCTTCCAAATTATTCACCCAAGCAGAACTGAGTGTCCGTAATAAGAGTTGCATAAACTAGCGATGTCATAATAGGTTAATGCATTTTCTCAGAGAGTGGGTGAATATAGTCTCTTATTTGGTGACCCTAGCTGAGCAGTTAATGGTGATGTGCCAGCTAGCTTTTACATGAGTGACCGCTAATGTGATGGTTGGTGGCATATGCATGTGCTAATGTGTCGCACTGAGAGTATGTGTTAGTATACGTTGGGTTGTGCAGTCGGTGCTAGTCTGCCAGCTAGCGTCTGCAGTGTGCCGACTTGTGCCAACTGGATGTGTTGACTCCCACTAAACCGATTTGATCAATGCGTGCCGTTGGCTAATGCGACTAATTCCGTTTCCTTGATTTCATATCACCTCTCTCTCTCTCTGCCATCCTTTCTTCCATCTTGTTTCCTCACTCCTTGTATCCCTCTCCTCCTCTTCTCTCCTCCTCTTCCTCCCATCCTCTCCTCCTCTCCGCCCTCCTCTCTCCCCCATCCCTCATATCCAGTACCCCACGTCTCGTTTGAGTTCTACAAACCGTCCATCTTCTCCAAGTTTCTAGAGTCCCATCTCGTGATGGCCGAGGTAAACACTTAACAGGACACACTCTTTTACCTATTAAGAAAGTAAGATAGGTGGACGAGATTAAAACAAAACAGCAGGATAGTTAGTACATAGGAGTTCAGCATAACAATACCCCTTACTCTAGCAAGACTAGCTGGTGAATCAGCTGAAAAGAAGCATGGCTGGCTATTCTGAACGTGTGGAGTCTGACAAGATACCGAGACACGTTATCCCCCAACACGTGGCCCAGAGTTATGGGCAGGGCATTGCAGGAATGCGGTGTCAGTCGAGCTCCCACTGACATCGCTCCTTTGTTGCTGGAATCAGAACACTTTATAAACTCTCTCCCTTCCCAGTGGACACCTTCTCACCTTCTGTCACTTGCTGCCACACACACACACACACGCACACTCAGACACATGAACACACGGCTAAGTGATGCAAATTGTCTAACTGTTTCATTCCGTTACACATACATGCCCCCCGGAAGGTGTCAATTCCTGCAATCTCGTGTAATTATCCAACAGCTGATGCGGGATAAGGATGAACGGTTGCTGCCTTTGAATTCTCTTTGCTCTAGTTTCTCTTGGCCTTTCAACGTCCACAGATTATGCCTTTAGAAAATCGACAACACTATTCCGTTGCATATGTAGCATTCCAACTGCTAAATGTGCATCCGGCAATTGGTTTTTTGGCAGTCTTGTAGATGAACCGTGGACAATCCACATTTGAAAGTCAAGATTGTGTAGTGGTGTGGTTTCATAAAGTAGGAGATATAGTCAATGCACTCCCATTTGCAGTTAGCCTGCCAGCCAAACCACTAAACTACCAAGAAACATGACGATCTGGGACTGTTCTTACAAGCATTACTTGTGATTATGGAAGACGCCTCTCTAATAGGCTCATTACTTACTACGGACCAATGTTTTTGATTTTATCATGAATACGGAAATTTCAATGATCCTTTCCCTCGTGGACAGGGATGTGTGCACACGTCGTTGTCTTCCTCCGTTGATTGCTGGAATTTCCTCGCGGTCAGGCCAACCCTTTGTACACCTGCATGCCTCGCACTTAGCAATTTGTTCCAGTTTGTTTGAGACACGAGGTGTGTCCCTAACGGGTTCATATTCACAGATTATGTCAAACTATTACTCTAGTCCTCCAATCATGCTGCCCTGCTACTCTATACAAACTCTCTGTATCTATGTATGTATGCTACTCCTATCTCTCCTCTCCCTCCTGCCTATCTCTCCTCTCCCTCCTGCATATCTCTCCTCTCCCTCCTGCATCTAGTCTAACAACAATATGAAACCAAAGGAAGGAGAAATTACATCAAAGCCGTGGCACTGGCCAATCAATTTGCAGGTTTCTCTCCTTACATAACTCTCGACTAATCATTGCATTGTTTGTGTGTGTTTTCCTTTGCCTGTCCAATTTTAGGCATTCTTCCGTTCCATTCGATGGTCCCTTCTCATTGTCGCCATAGCAATCATATTCCAGTTTTCCTACAACATAATAACTCTAACACTACTTGTACGTCATCCCTTAAAGTACTATGAGTTTGGCGCCTTCCGGCCTATATACATTCCTAACAGCAAACATACCAAGTGTCCGAACTGCTTTGAACTCAGCCGGCTTCAAACGACGTAACGTGGGAAATTGTGTACGTACTTGTGTCCACACACACACACAATGGCTCAAAAACGTCTGCGAGGTGACGATAGCTCCCGTGCGGGGATTCTGTGTGTGTGTGTGTGGTGTGTGAGTGTGGGGACCTGAATTCAGTCGGGACTTACCATGTCCTCTGTTTTTCCTCCCTCCCTTTGTTCAATAAGTCACTGTCATTGAACCCAGGGCCATCTGTGGCTACTGAACACTGACCAAAACAAAACAAAGCCCTGCAGTGCTCAGCTGCTAAGATTGTTTTAACTCTCCAAATATGACTCGGATAGCACAGCCAAATCGTATTAGGGAGGAAAAAAACACTCCAGTAATTTTACGAAATGTGCCAATGCTCATCATTACCGTCCCTCCCCTCTAAAAGTATTCCACAATATAACAACATTTTCGTTCGGGCATGGTGCAAAGGAGCATCTACATAATGTGGCTTTGGGTCCATCGATGTCCTTGCATTTTTCGAATTTTCTCCCATTGTCTGCTTAATTAGAAGAGCTGTTTTCTCCCGAACCTTTTAGGGACAGGTGTTTTCAGGTGGGGACCACCGAGTCTATCTCCTTGGAAACCCGGTGAGTTTCCACCCACGGACCAATTACCAGATGATGTACGGGTCGCTCTACTCATTATGGGGGCGGCATGCCCAGCTTGGAGTGGTTTGTATGTGTGTGTTCATATTAAGAATTGGCTGAAAGTGATCTCATTATCATGAGTTTATGGTCAAATTGTGCTTCTCTTTACGGTCACCCCTTGCTTATCTGAACCTCATTTGTGCGAATCTTTGAACTGCACACGTGCGTCTTTATACAAATCTGTGGTCCACATAACATCTGCTTCAGTGTGTCGAAGACTCCCCTGCCCAAATAAGGTTGGATATGTGAGGATGCGCTGCACCATGCTATCAACATGTTACGTATACTTCTAGACTAACACACTAGGAAAACTTAAACAAATTCCAGTGTTCAGTATTGCTCAGTTACACCAGGTATACTGTTGCATTGTGTGTACTGTATTAATGTGTTCATCACTGTTTGTCTATAGAATTAGGACTAGGCCACGTGTGACGTCTGAATGGGGGGTCAGTCTAAGAGAATAGGTAGTAGGAAAACAGTAGCTGTGTCGGTTCCAACTGCCCCAGATGTGCCCTCTATTCAACTAATTCATTCGGTGATTGCTGTCAGAGCGTTCCATTGATTCGGGCCCTGAATCAGTTCTTGTAGCGTCCGATCTCCTCTGCCAAGGCCTGATCAGGACCTCCATTCAGACTCTGTTTCACTCGCATGTGAATCCAACAGCATCAAAGGCACCGTCCCTCCCTCGAGCATGTGGGTCCATAACGCACACTGTGGCCACACACCGTTGGATTGTGCCTGCGTGGCACGCCGTGGACCAGAGTGGTGAAATACGCACACACAAACCTACCCCCACTCACCATGTGTTTTCTAGAGTCGGTGCCACAAAGTTCAAATCTCATTCTATGCCATTAGCGTGCGTTTGAGTTTGTGTGCGTGTGTTTTCGTCCCCACGCCATTCATCGGCAGCCAGGTAAAAGATCAGTGTTCACTTTAACCCCTTGCCAAGGGGTTAAATACACACTTTGATCCACCTTGACTTCGGGTCTGGCTCGCAAGGTGTGCTCCAAGTGGGCTAGTATGTGGTAGGGCAGTCCACAGAAAATCGTCTCCCTTTCTCTCTCTCTCTCAGCTCTTGTGCTCTCATAAACTGCATAGTTTAGCATAATAATATACGTCACACAAGAGATTGCGTAATATCGCTTGACTACAGCATAAGGTCAGAGAATAGTCTGCCACCTTTTTGATCATTGAGACTTCAAAGGAATTCTCTAGCCAGTGTTAGAGGTAGGAATGTGAGCACTAGGAAATCAATGGGAATGGTTTAATGCCCCAAGTAACTCCCCCAAGTCATGTTTCTGATTGGGCAGTGCAGCGTTCAAAGCGGAGGTGTGGAGTGACGAGCGTGTTTTGTGCTGCTTTAGCTCTCTCTCTCTCTCTCTCTCGCTGTGTGTGTGGTAATGAATGACTGTCTGTGGTTGGGTGGGGCAGAGGGTGCGGTGTGTGCGGTGAATCTGATTGGCTGCCGTGAATATTTGAATCCCTTGCACCTACTTACACTCAAGTTTGTTTGAGCGTCCACCAAACTACGTATAATGCTATCTGTATATACTTATCAGGTTTTCGTAGCCAAGAAGAATTATAGCTCTTGTTTCTAGGCCAAAATATCCCACTTCCAAAGATGTTAGGAATCTAATTTGCAGAATAAGTGGATTCTGTGAGTGGTGCAGGATGGGCACGGCTGCGAGTGAGTAAGGTACTTAAAAGCATGACGGGAGGTGCATATTTGAATGGTTGTCGTAGTGAGACTTATGGCAGTGTGGTTGACACTTCCCATCAGAACCTACTGTAGTAGGTACCAGGTGTGGCTGGACATGTCCGCTACATGGCGGACATCATGCAATTGTGGCTTCGAGCACGCTTCCCCTTCCTACACTGGTGATGATGCCATGTTCTCTTTGGGCAAGTGGTCCAACGGGACACACTCTCTTTATTGGCAGCATCCCAACTTGCCTATTCACGTGTGCATAATCCCCTTGTGTGTCGCAGGTGTAATCTGCTTATGCAAATGAGTATAACTCCTTTTTCATGTGTCTGGCACTACTTGCATTAAGCGTGCACACACAGCACACCCACTATAGCATGAGGTGTGACGCACACAAATGGAACACCCTCTAAAAACTATCCAGTATGCAGGCACTTCACTATAAGCGAACCAGCCTCTTTGCATCATCTAGTCCACAGCGTGTGGGATCTAGTAATTTTTCCCAGGGCACCGCCTGTCGGGCACATAGATATTTTCCAAGTGCAGAAGACATGCGCTAGCCAAGTGGCCTTCCACTTTAACGGCAAGTTCATTTATAGAAACGTGTGGACGGTTAGCTCTTACTGTTGATGAACTGTCCATCTGTGTTGTTCAGTCATATGACTTTGCCCTATTCCAACCTTGCCTATACTTGCATTCATACGTGCATACCCCACTGTGTTTGATCCCCACTAATAGCCCATTTAGTTCTAGCGTAAGCATCGCATTCCTCTCCCTCTCTCACCTGTCTGTCTGTTTGGTGTGTGTGTGTGTATGTGCAAGTGGATATGTGAACACTGAATCTATCTATGGCTACTATTTACCTGCTGCCTTTGCCTATATGGCTGGGAACATAATTACCCGAATGAATGGAGTAAGTGAGCAGTAATTGATATACAGGCTGATCCTATAGAAAACTATGTAAATGCACCGCTGCTCCTATAGTCACCTTCTTGTGTGGCTGTATCTGTATATGTATGTGTGTGTTTGATCTGGTAGCTGCCAAACTCTGAAGCCTGGCCAGATTAGCCCGAGACTCTGCTGATCCAGATAGTGGAGCCTATGTGGTGGTGTGTGGACACGTGGTAATCACGTGGTGTCCATACCTTTCAAGACTCCTTTTCCTTCCCTCACTTCTGGGATTCCAGCTAACTTGTAGGCTTTAATGTTCGACTGAGTCCCTGAATTGTGTGGAGTTGTATATAGGGTAGTGTGTGAGTGTGTGAGTGTGTGAGTGTCTTATGCTATACCAGTTAGTGTCTAACCTCCCTTGTTTCTCTCACCCATTGAGCTGTTTGTTCTCCAACCTAACTATCATATCATACATAATGGACTCGAGTCCTAACATACAGACTTGTCTGGTAGAACACTGATTCTGTGTAGTCGTGGAATGGTGTCCGTGTTGCGTAGTCTGGCAGTATTGTCTCTGGTACCACCGCCCATTATACAGTACACAGGAACTGTAGTCCAGTAATGAATGTGTGGAGCAATGCTGAGCTGTATTGTCTGTGATGTGGGGAGGTATGTAATAGCTGTATATCCTGTCTGGGGCAGACACTGGTAGATGGGTGAGGGGTGGGAGAAGGAGGAGAGGGAGAAGTTGGAAGTGACAGTCTAGTTTTCGTGTCCGACACTCCCAAAGACTCTGTGGAATCTCACCAATGTGTGAGACTCGGGGTCGGGTCTGTGGCAACATGCATATCTTCCTTTGTTCTGGTGTGTCTACCGATCTCTGCTCTGCACGATACACGATGGAGCCTGCCACTCCCTGAGCTACACGTATCATGTCATGTGGTGCTATCTATAGCCTCATAGTGTATTGCCATATGCACATTCCACTGATGTCCAACACTACCTTACTTACCTGCCATTTTCCTAATTATTATTGCCATATGCACATTCACTGATGTCCAACACTACCTTACTTACCTGCCATTTTCCTAATTATTATTGCCATGTAAGTATCTATCAATATTTGAGTGGATATTTGTGCTCATGTATATAACCCTGAGGGGGTCTATATATATAGTGGACCAGCCAATATGCCGCTGGTCTGCGAGGCTAATAAAACGTGTTGCGATGGGATTTGTAGCTTTCAATTGTACGTTACATCTCCAGATCATCTTCTGGGGGTGTGGTCTTCTGAAGATACTCTTCGTTGTCGTGGTGATGCTGAAACTGTTTGCCAGACAGAGAGGATATCTGCAGAGGATGAGAAATGAAATTCAAGGTTTGTTTTATACCCCCTTCCTTCTCCGTCTCTCTCTCTCTTCTTTTTCTCTACCCTCTCTCTCTCTCCCTCCCTCCCTCTCTTTACCATTCTTCTGTGTTTCTCTGTTTGCCCACACTCCGTTCCTTCCTAATCGTTTCCGACATTGTCCACATAGCTCTTCTCTGGAACGCCGGTATATGGCACCCAGTCAACTGGCTCCAGACTCGAGTGGTATTTCACTGAAACCGACGGTATGACCTGAGCTGGCAGAACCTGTGGTGTTAAAGCGATCTCTTTGCCAGCATCCAGCCTACACGCAGTGCCTTTCTGTCTCCTCTGCCCCTCCCTCCTTATCTTCCTCAAATGCCCCCAAACCCCTACTGATTCCGAGAGAATAACTTCTCGTAGAGTGACAAGTATGCACAGAAAGCTGGCGTGACCATCACTCATGTAGTCTCCCCACCAGCCATAGTTATATCTGGCTTGCTGTGTGTAGTTCAAACACGCGACCACCGCACCTAAGGTTGTCCAGTGAGAGGTATGGTGATTAAAGCAGTCTCACACACTGGTGGAGATTCGTCCCAAGGCAGTGCTCCATGCTCTCCATATGACTTCCCTACCTTCAGCTACTTTATACATATACATGTACGTAGCTCTTAATTCTGTGTGTATAGTATGTGTAGATTAGAACCCACATGCAGGTGCCTTGCTGTGTGCTTCGGGAATTTCACTAACGTTCTTTTCCCAGCACATTGGGCCTCTACTAGAAGTGTTGACAGATACAGGTGTGGCAGCCTCTTGCTATAACTGCGTGCCACCATTTACTACCCAATAGTGGGTGTACACCAAACTCTGGTAGTGTTGCAGCATTAGGATTTCAGCACCTCTGGGTGGCCGTGAAAACTAAGTTCCTTCGTTTGCCTGTTTGTGTTACACTTCTTTGTGAAGATATGGAGTGAAATGTGACTCTCTAGCATTCTCTGACATTCCTAAGAGTCTATATGTGCTACTGTAGATAAAGCTATGTGCCGGACTCTGTGCTCTGGATAGTATAGAGCTGTGCGTTTTGCTCAGATCCTAAGATACGTTCTCCTGTTTCAGAATGGCATGTGAACCTTATACTGTGAAAGGCAAAGGCCACCAAAAACACTTATTACGCTCTCTGAGTCAACTGCTGGGCTACATACATACATAGTGTTTATACAAGGCTCAGAGTACTATCCTTTATAGTCTCTGGGTGGTGGCTAAGGAATCTCGACCAAATACATTATACCATCTCACAAGGAGCGTACAGGATTTAAAAGGCGTGTTGGTAGTGTCTGGTCTCTGAAACTATGGCAAGTCCCTTCATTTCCAGCTGTATCACGACAAACATGTTTTTGCTGGTGTATAATTCGGGGATTGTTTGATCGATTAGTACGGCATCTGATTTCTCTGAAATTGGCGTTCGCCAGATGGACGGAAAATGTCGCCAATTCCCTGGTGTGTCCTGTGCACACATTATAACTCAATTGCCTCATAATGTATGCTATTTATACCCCAATCAGTTTATATGCACTGCAGTGCACCATCGTGAGAATCTCTGCAATGAACTAATGCAGTGTGGAGTTATCCCTTAGCTAGCCAACTCTATAATATGTGTCTGAAATCTACTACTATGGTGCCTTAGCTGAGTGGGCAAGAGGTGTCTCCCACAGGTGTGTGACTATTTACTCTTCCCAGTCACCACCAACTGTAGTAAACCACCTGTTTTTGGAGCTTGTATGATACAGTCGCATGATATATTGACGGGCCTGGGAACACATGTGCAGCGAAGTCCCGCAAGCTGACATGTGATCGAGACTAGTAACATAGTAAACTACATCATTGTGACACGTCACAGGGTGGGGGATTGTAATTATGACACCACTGTGAGAAGATGAAAGTGTTTTCGCAAGGTATGTCGCACTTTACATGCACGAGCGGGTGCTCTAACACACTTGGGACCGTTAAGACGGCACTTGAGTCTCTTCCGGCTGTGGCGAGAAGCACTTTGCCATTCAGGTCTCTGTTTTGAGATTTCTGTTTTGGTATCGAGACTTCTCGGTGAGCGGTACGAACCCTGGGTTTCCGTGAGAACTAATCTCTGGGGAGCCACCATATTTGCTACTCCATTATACCATAGTATAGCCAGAGTTTAGAAACAGAAGCTGTCTTTTTGCTCCTATAGACGCTTGGGGTTTCTTCAATTAGGGTGACCTTTATTGGGGAGTGGAGAAAGGTATAGTAATTTTGCTAAAAACAGAGCTAAAATACACAGAGAGAGAGCAATTCCTTATTCCTGTAAAGAGACCAAATACGTACCATGTGGATGGAGTGCAGTGTAGACTGCTATGTATCTGGGGTGTGTTGGTTGGTGTGTGGAGGAGGTGAGGCCTGGCTGGATGTTTGAGATGGAATAGGTGGCATGTTCATCCCTGGCCGGCAGCCAGCCAGACTGAGTGCCCCTGCCTCTCTTTCCCATGGGCTCTGTGTGAACGCAGGCTCCATCGCCAGATAATCCAACCAGAGTGGTTCAAGTGGCTGCAAACCCTCCCAAAATCTGCGGCCTCTTTACTTTGCACTCGTGTCCCACCCCACCCTCTTCCCCTCCCCCTTACCTCTCTAATTACCTCTCCCACTTGTTTTTATACCAATTTCTTATCCCCCTCTCTCCCACTCTCTTCTCCTCCTCCACGTATAGCTGAGTTGGATGTCTTTACGTCTAATGGTCTGTGGTTGCTGGTTGGCTGGGCCCTCCACTATCTTCCGTTCTACCTCATGGGACGTGTCCTCTACTTCCACCACTACTTCCCTGCCCTCATGTTCAGCATCATGCTGGCAGGTATATACACACACTTACATTAGTACAGACTCCAATACTATACTTGTAATCATAGCCCCATACATCTATGATGCTAGGTACCATGCCCATCCCTATATACTAAGTACTACCGTACTTAGTGATAATGCAGGCTGAACTAGCATCAGAGTGTATGAGGTATTGTGTCTGTGTTGCTGTAGTAGCCAGAGATTATTTGTGGTAGAGTGTATTGACTGCTGGTGAATAGATTGCTTACAAGTTTTGTCCTAATGCAGTATGTCTTTCTGCAGCCTTTTCAACTGACATGCATAAACAGACTACTGGCTCGGAATAGACTTTCAGGTGGACCCATTTTCAACTTGTTCGGTATTCATGGACTGGTCTCCCAAACCTCCTCTCCTCACATACCACGTTGTACTACATTCATGGCTGTTTGGATAAAACAAATTTCGCTAGGTGGCAGAAGGGCAATTGGTCCGTGTAGAGTTCAAGTGATAGCGGGGAAAGACATCAGGATGTTGGCATGTTGGAATATAACGGTTTCCTTTCTGCAATGACCTCTGTTCCCACTGCTAATGGGATTAATGCACCCTTTCAGCGCTCCGATGCCCTGCCAATACAGGCACCAGTTTTGGGGCGTACTCCATGTACCACTTGGCAATGGGCAACCTCTGGTTACTGCGTTTCACACAATACTGGGGGATGCTTAGTATAATTTAACCCTTAGCAAGCCACGGGCATAAATATATATGCCCAGGGCCTCCATAAGTCCATAAGAATTTATATGGGGTTATAATACTATATTACGCATCAATTTCTGCTTATTTAAGGAGATACCCATGGCATCCAAAGTTAATTAATGCTCATCTTTGAAGATGTTGCTCGATTATGGCTGATGTCATGTGAAGGTACTCGCAGAGAATCTCCACACTATTGGTGTAATTTTACTCAACCGACGCGAAAAAAACAATCATGAATGTAAAAGCACAATTCTATGGGGTGATGAATATTGACGTTAAGGCTTGCTGGGGAAAATCATGCATGAAATACAACATCCAGCTTATACAACTGAGCAAGTTTAATTGTTTCATTGTGGTGGGCAGGAAACATGAAGTAATGGGGAACGAGGTAGAGTAGCTATTGTAATACCGCAGGAAGTGGCAGCATGCTCATTAAAACCACTTCCATTCAGGTAGCTTAGGTAAACTCCGGTGTTGTTCACATTTGCTAAAACCAGGGAAGACGAGTATTTTCACAGTTCATATGCGGTATAGTCTACTTACACAGTGCCTGTTATAGGACTAGAAAAACTTTCAGTATCGGCCAGGAATTACCCTGTTTGAAGACCTAATACACTAATCTAAATGCTTTAGATAAAATGGTTAGCTGCAGTATGTTGTGAATTCATCTCGTGTTACACAAGTTTATATAACTGTGTCTGTATGCCTTGTCATGGTATGTGCTCCGCATTTCAAATTCCTTTACAAGACAGTGTATGCTTACTAGAGAGAGGACTACAGAAGAAACGCCTCTAACTTTAACTTTGCATGATGAAAGGCTTCTGAATGGAGCGGTCAATTTTTGCATTTCAAGTGGGCAGAATTGTCAAGTGGTTCAAGCATATTAGCAAGATATAGTACACAAGCATTTACTGCTGGGTTCGTGTATAGGTAATGCGTTTCTGCCATTAGCACTGACCTACAGCTGTGGTTTGGGCTGTTCATTGTGATTACGGCCCCCTCCCTCTCTCCTTTAGGGCAGTTAATGCAGCACTTAACACGACTACTGTGAACTAAGTATAGCCTGTAAGCATAGGGTTGGAGCCAGCTATAAGCGTGTTGTTTATCTGTTGTTTTAGAATTGTTATATAATGGGTCAGAGCAGGCAGGCAGGTTTTTGGTGTGGGTGTTATATATACATTCTCTGAGTTCTGGAGTCATTTGACAACAGTTTGATGCACTTTTACACAAACACTGAAGAAGGAACACAACTGCATATGTACTCTAATTGTAATCTCCCTCTCTGTCCCTCTCATTAAAGGGGTGACTATTGAGTACAGTATCAGACTACTGACAGCTCTACTACACCCGGCTTTGAAGCCACTCTTCTACCACACATCTGTGGCAGTGGTGCTCTTCATTACTGTTGTCAGGTAAGAGCAACAATCATTCAACTGCTTGTGCTTCATTTCAGGGTATACCGTGAATATGGGAATAAGTTTTCGAGTTGTCACATAATTAATATTTCCCTGCAGTTTCTTGTTCTTCATGCCACTGGCATACGGAATGTCTGGACCAAAATCCGACAACCCAGAAAGCTCAATGTATGGTCTCAAGTGGCTACCAGACTGGGACATTTTAGCTATAGTATAGATTCAAAATTCTCTGTGTGCCTGATTATCGCTCGACAACTTAGCGCATGCGCTAAATCACACCATTTCCGGTGTCCGCGGAAACGCCCGCGCCGAAGGTGGTATAAATTCTGCTCGCCCGATCAGACTGCAGCTTCAGCGACTGTTTGACACTGAGATAGCCTTGAAAAACTGATCTAAACTGAAGGAATCATGGGAGGTAAAGACACGCCACCCCCGTGCGTATCTGGAAGCCCGATGCAGGGCCGCGGTTACCTCGCCGAGAAGACGCGCTCCTTTTCCATGTCTTCAGCCGCTTCCAGCTCCTCTTCCCTGTCTTCATCGTCCACGGCGACCTCCGCTTCCCAGGTGTCGCCCATCCGCTACGTTCCCCGGTGCAGAACCCGCGTCAACCTTCAACTGCAGTGCCCGTCGCCATCCGTCACCCGCGTGGACCGCGTCGGAACGACGATCGCTCCAGGAAGCAGCGACTCCCTGGATTCCAAGGACGCTGCAGCCTTCTCGCCCATCCGTGCCTACATCGACTGTCTGACCCCGCAGACGATCAAGTGCGCCATCGTGGGAGACAGCGGCGTGGGGAAGACGAGCATGCTCATGAGCTACGTTGTGGACAAGTTTCCTGAGGCGCACTTGCCCACCATCTACGACAAGTTTTCCAGTGAGTCGGTGGGTGCAGCATCTAGAGACAGGCTACGTCAACTGTGCATGTGTGGCCGTTTGTGTTTAGCTATCTGCATTACCAGAATAAGTTTTAATAATATTTCTTCTCCCTTGCTTCAGGTTCTATCACAGTCAATGGAAGAAGAATAGCAGTCACACTCTGCGATACTGCTGGGCAGGTACGTTGAGCACCACACACCTTACCGATAGCATTGTAAAACTGTGTTTGGGAAGTTACAACCCATTGCATGCTTGAATTTATGGATCCTTTCCAAGCCAGTAAAATTGTTTACTGCTGAGGTCAAATTGGTATTGAGGTTTGGTGGGTCTAGACAAACTATCACTGTTCGGTATGTGTCTGGGTATGCACTGGTGTTGGTCGTGAATAGCATTACAGGGAGCATCACCGCTGTAGGTCCGTGTGCGTGGGATTGGGGTGACTGTTTGAGGGACACAGTCTAGTTGGCATGAATTCCGCTCCGCTTGCATTCTAGACATTCCTTACACCTTCTCACCACCTTGTTTTCTCCTGTGTCCGCAGGACGACTTTGCCCACATCAGACCTCTCTGCTACCCGCAAGTCGACGTCGCCCTCATCTGTTACTCGGTGGTCGACACCACGTCGTACGACAACGTCAAGTCAAAATGGGTCCGCGAGGTCCACAGACACTGCCCCGGAGTCCCCATCATCCTAGTGGGCACTCAGACAGACAGAAGAACCGACACCACAGAGATCAAGAGGTTAAAATCGCAGGGAAGGAGACCTTTTACAAAGGCCGACGGGAACAAGCTGGCGTCACAGTGCAAGGCGACGTGCTACCTCGAGTGCTCGGCACGGACGCAGCAAAACGTGAAGCACACTTTTGACGAGGCAATTGCGGCCGGTCTCGAACTGGGCAGTGGGGGCTCGAAGCACACCCCACAATGTGCCGGCTGCACGATTCTGTAGTCATGTTGTGTGTCCTCCTGTTTGCATCGTGTGTGTGTGTGTGTGTGTCCAGCTCTTCAAACTCATCACAGGCTCTCTAAAGCACTGTTCTATACACCCTATTGTGCACCCTTCATTATATAGCACACTTCACTCATCCATCACGTTATCTTGTATGCACTGCTCTGCAGCTCATGAAAGAACTATCAAACATTGATTGAAAAATTGCATGAGCCGTGAGCAATAAACCTTACACACATTTTAAAGTGGTTGGACCACAAAAAGCATGAGAAAGTGAGTGGACAGCGATTAGTATATAAACCAGAGAGCCACCAGTAAAAAGCGGAGTGTTCAAGTACAGAAAACTAAGTGATGTCATTGATGTCTTGACTCTGCCACTCTAGACTCAGCTCATCGCAGTCCACTAGTCGAGAACGGTCCTCATCCACCTCGTAGCCCCCTCTCCCCGCTCTGCTGTAGCCTCCTCTTCTTCCACCACCTCCTGTGCAATAGACAACACCACTGTGAAACAGAATTACACAAAAATAAGGGTTTGGTGGTATGTACAATACTGGTTTTCCTAAGGAGTATTTTTCTGTTTCGGCAGTGTTGTTCGTGTATATACCTTGACATCTGAAGCAACAGGTCCATATGCTAGAACCGCTGACAGGCCTCTCCTCCCCTCCTCCCTCCATCCCCACCCTCTTACCTCTCCCTCCCTCCACCTCCCCAATCACACTCACTCCACTACTGAGATCCACATCCGCAAAATCATTCCTTATCGAAAATGGCGACTGTCGGCCTGTACCACTACCACCTCCACCACCGGACCACGATGACGAATGTGGTCCGTTTCGGCTCACTTCGGTCCCCCTCTGCTGCATGTGGTCGTCTTTTGCTTCGCTCAAAGACTGGAGAATGTCCTTTGACGAAAGCTGGTTCTTTCTACCACTGCCACCACCTCCCTCAAGTTTCCCCAAGCGTCTCTCTAAGACAAAAAAGGGTTGATGAGGGAGGAGAGGAAGGTGATTTGTACGTGCACACGAAACCGGTCAAAGAACAATGGTAAGCGGGGTGTATGCTATAAGGTGACACGCACCTAGAGAGTCGAGGTAGTGCTGTCGTCCTGCGTCGTCGAGAGCTCCTCTGTCTCGAGACTCGACGGCCTCGGGAGGCGGGGCGAGCATCGGTATAGTAGAATAACTGCTGAGTCAGCTTTATCATTGGGCGTGTCGCTCGGTTGAGTAAACACGCACTGACGCGAGAATGATCAACTGGAAGCAAGTTTTCGTTCTTTTTCTGTCCATCTACCCCCTGTTTGGCGAGTGCTGTTCGTGCTTTGACACAAGTAGCCGCTATGAGGCGCTGAGGGACGGGGTCTGCGACGGCGGCGCCTACGCGGGTGTCGTGCTCGGAGCGACGTGCACCTGCTTCGAAGGAACCACTACGGAGAACTCCAAAACGTTCGACTGCCGCGAGTATTCTTACTCTGAGAGCGACGACATCTACTCGGCGGAGATAGTACGCCGGGTAGAGCTCAGCAGTGATATCCGGCTTGACGTCTACATCAATCAATTAATCAAGACGTGCGAAAAAGCAGAGGACACCCTTGCGCGAGGTATGGTTTACAGTTTTAGCTGCAACCTACGTCGCTCCATCCATAGAGGGAGGGTGCAAATGTAACTGTTCTTTAGGTGTAACCTTTCAATACACTGGAGCGGAGCCTGATGTGATGACAGCGGAAAATGATACAGAGCCACTGATCTGCCCATTCAACGACGAAAGCACAGACTACCTCCAGTACGGATATGTCTGTGTGTACAGGGTTCGAATCACAGAGGTCTTTGCGGGGAATTTTAGTGTAAGACGACAAGCCTCACTTGTGCATTCTAATTCTCATGCCATCCATGCCGAACAGAGTGGCTGCAAAACTATAATAGTCAATACTGTTCTTCCACAGGTGGGAGATGTGATCACTAGTTCTGGGCCTGATACCGGCACCAGCTGCTCGCCAGAGTTGGGCAGGATTCTGCAGTTGAGGACAGAGTACCTGGCTGGAGTGGGTGGCCCCTGTACTCCCCTCATTAATTGGGACCTCCTCAGCTCCTACAGTGAAAATGACCTGGAAACACTGAGGGATCTCGCAGAGACACGAGACCCAGAAAAGTGTGGTAGTCCTCCACTGCCTGGTGTGGCTGCAGTCGTGGTCTTTCTGACTGCAGGACTTATATTATTTATGATTTGACTTTGCACGCTCGCGCACACGTCCTGCGCATGCGCGTACCGCACCGCGCGCCCTCTGCTGCTATGAACCTGCAATGTCCTGCACCGCCATCATCACCCTCTTTGCTGTTCTTGAGGTAGCATCTGTCTCGGCTCTTACATGGAGGTTGTAAGAAAGGTTTACTCCCAAAGATGTGCAAGTCAGATATGGAAGAGGTATATATATATGTCGGGTGACCAGCTACGAACGTAGTGAGTATATAACTGGTCTTGTATCGTGATTCGTGGCTAATTTTATTATGCTGAGGAGGGCAGGATTCTGCAGCTGAGGGCAGAGTACCTGGCGGGAGTGGGTGGCCCCTGTACTCCCCTCATTAATTCGGACCTCCTCAGCTCCTACAGTGAAAATGACCTGGAAACACTGAGGGATCTCGCAGAGACACGAGACCCAGAAAAGTGTGGTAGTCCCCCATTGCCTGCTGTGACTGCAGTCCTGGTCTTTGCAGGGCTTATTTCGTTGTTGGATTAATTTTTTGCAGCTCAACCGAGACACACATTTACACCCCTCACTTCCAGGTTGCTCGTTTTTGTGGTGCAGGAGTCGACCCTGCCCGTTTGCGTCGTTGCGTGTTTGCGCATGCGCGGAAACGAAACTTATGCGCATGCGCTTGGGAACCGCTGCAAAACCTTTCAGTACCATGGCTCTACGATTTTTGGCTTTGCCAGTCATTGTATTAAAATTTTTCCGTCGATCGCAAGGTGTAGCTCTGACATGGAGGTTGTGAGAGACTTTTATCGTATATTCTCATGATATGTAGCTATTTTATCAATCAGGTATGGTGATACTAGTATGGTTGCTGGGTTACCTTCATACAAGAATTCAGTCAGTTCTGAATAAACAGTGTGAAGTTCACTTCTTGATTGATTCAGTTTTAGATTATGTTGGAGTGTGTGAGCTGCATTACCAGTGATTTCACCTGGACAAGCGAATCTTGTCAATTTAGAGTTCATAACATTAGGTATAACTATAAACACAACACCAATATAAAACTAAATAGTCCAATTCCACTTAGCTATGTTAGTTCGTTAGGACATTTCCATGGTCTATAATCACCTGTGGGCTGAGTTTTTATGCAGCGCCACGAGTTGTGTTGAACCCCTCTCTCAACACATTGGGCAACTTTCATGCTTTTTTCCTTCGGGAAGTAAAAGGCAAATGCTGTATGCTCATTACAATATTTGTCACCCTTAACTTGTTGTGGTTCGGATATGTGTTTGGACCATGAAACAATGTATTCTGGATGGAAAGTAGGTATTGCATCTAGATTATCAATTTTTCCATCGCCATTGGTAAAACCATTCATATTAAAACGCTCTGACACTGGGGGCAGTGATTTAAATTCATTCAAATCTTCCGTGTCTTTGGCTTTGTCTGTGCAAATGATTAGAACATAGCATATTTCAAACGTGTATCGGAGCGTCCCTCCCTTCCTGATGCAAACATTGCCAGTTTCAGTTTTTCGAGCTTGAGCATATGCAATAATAAGATCCTTAAACCCACAAATAAACGCGTGGTTCCCATACCGAGACTCTGGATATTCCTTAATGTAATCAGGGACCATAGCTCTGTATCTTTCTTTGACATATATTGCATCTAGCTCTTTCTTGATTTCGGTAGGTGTGGTGTATCCTTCTTGCTCAGTAGGATATGTGCCCCACCACGAGTAATATCCTGGAAATACTGTCTCACTGTCGGGAATCTTGAAAAAGCCTTCGCTCTTTGTGCTGGGTCTCAGTGATTCTCCACAAGATCTCCCATCATATTTAAGAGTTTTTCCGAACTTTTGTCTACCTTTAAACTCCATTTCATGGCATATTTTATCAGCTTCTTTTTCAGGGCGTATTTTATCAGCTTCTTTATCATGGGTTACATGTGAAAGGGTAATAATAGGTACAGCAACACCTTCGCCCCTCAGCTTTTCACTTGCGTGGGGATATACCACAGGTAAAACTCCGTTTTTGTCAAGTTGGGTGAAAACATTTGGATAAAATAGCTCCGTCATTGATTTAAAGTCACTGAGGTATAATACAGAATAGTAAGCACTGCCACACTACAAGAAATTGCTACATTACCTTGGTTTTATTAGAGACTCTTCTGGTGACTCTTCTCTCTTATAGGCCATATCTTAGCAGTTCTTAGGTGTCCAAAGCAGTTCTTTGTGAGGTCTTTATATACACTCTATGATGCTGAGTCATAAATGGGGATTTCCCTGGGGTACACCCTTCAAGTGCATACATGATCGAAAACAACATGTGATCCTTTGTGTGGTTTGATGAGTCATTGTATATATACAATCGTAAGTAGTATATAAGTGGCAGGTTGCCTCGGTATGTAGATCAATGAATCTTATTACTACAGTTTGGTGGAAGTGGCATGCAATAGTCCGGGAATCCACCAGATTTCAGTGCAGGGAACTTTCCCGAACATGTCGGTGCGTCCATTCTCACTCCATCGTGAATATCCCCCACTGAAGTGTTCATCTATGAACAGAGTACATTGAATATCCCACTGACGAGTGCCCCTCACTGCTACACCTGGAGAACAGGGACAGAATTCATCTACAATGGAACCAGACAGGTAATGAGTTAGCGTTTCTTAAGACAAGAAGAAGAGCTCTGAAGTTTATTCTTTCCAGATGACATTCTCTGTGTGGATTGAGCAGAGCAGCTTCTCAGATAGTCAGGTAAAATATCCCCTCTGAGTGTCTCTCTAGAAGTTTTGCGTGCTACAACAGCGAGAGGCTCTGACTCACCAGTTCTATTCTCTGGGAGAGTCTCCACAGCTGGTGACAGTCACACCGTCAGTAGAGCTCGACCTCACAGCTCATGGCTTCAACACAGAGATAAAGTCTGCCAGTACAATATTACGATAGAGCATGGCAAGGTTCACCCTCTGTGTGTGTGTGTTGGTGTGTGTGTTGGTGTGTCTGCAGTGTGTGGGAGTTTGTGGTGGAAGGAGTTGAGAACCTACCAGTGGAGGTGGTGATAGAGGTAGTCTGCAGTGGGGTCCTGGTCATGGGCTGTGGAGTCAGGTTGTCCAAAAGCTCTCTCTCTCTCTCCCTTGCTGATTAGTTTCTGGATAGTAAAATCGAGTGTGTGTACAGTCCCCATAGGTTCTCCATTGTTACAAGACGACTCAACAACTCCATGGTGTCCACTAGTACAGAGGTGAGTACTGAATAGCAAGTTCTAGCTCATTCTCATTGTTCTCTTTCGTTCAGTTTAACATCTCAGATTCAAGACTAACATTGATCCAAGTGGGTGCAGTGGAATTGAGGTGTAGGTCATAATTGTGACCCTTCTTCACACATAGGATAGTGCTGCACTTGGTACTTCCATCCTTCTCAATGGGTATGATACCATACCTGATATCATCATATGTAGCAGTATAAACTCCTTACTCCAGTGGTATCAGCTATATCAGCCAAGATGACCTTGCTACTCTGAAACAGTTTGAAGTACATAAAACCTATGATGCTGAGTGTGTGAATGATGTAATGATTATTAGGTTGTTGGTGTGAATGGAGAGATCAGTGATGCAGCATTCACTAGTTCCACACTCTGTCTTCTCATCAATGGAGAGATACACTACTGTCTCGAGACTCGACGGCTTCGGGAGGCGGTCCGAGCATCGAAGGAATTGCTGAGTCAGCTTTATCAGTGGGGGTGTGTCGCTCGGTTGAGTAAACACGCACTGACGCGAGAATGATCTGCTGGAAGCAAGTTTTCGTTCTTTTTCTGTCCATCTACCCCCTGTTTGGCGAGTGATGTTCGTGCTTTGACACAAGTAGCCGCTATGAGGCGCTGAGGGACGGGGTCTGCGACGGCGGCGCCTACGCGGGTGTCGTGCTTGGAGCGACGTGCACCTGCTTCGAAGGAACCACTACGGAGAACTCCAAAACGTTCGACTGCCGCGAGTATTCTTACTCTGAGAGCGACGACATCTACTCGGCGGAGATAGTACGCCGGGTAGAGCTCAGCAGTGATATCCGGCTTGACGTCCACATCAATCAAGTTATCAAGACGTGCGAAAAAGCGGAGGACACCCTTGCGCGAGGTATGGTTTACAGTTTTAGCTGCAACCTACGTCGCTCCATCCATAGAGGGAGGGTGAAAATGTAACTGTTCTTTAGGTGTAACCTTTCAATACACTGGAGCGGAGCCTGATGTGATGACAGCGGAAAATGATACTGAGCCACTGATCTGCCCATTCAACGACGAAAGCACCGACTACCTCCAGTACGGATATGTCTGTGTGTACAGGGTTCGAATCACAGAGGTCTTTGCGGGGAATTTTAGTGTAAGACGACAAGCCTCACTTGTGCATTCTAATTCTCATGCCATCCATACCGAACAGAGTGGCTGCCGAACTATAATAGTCAATACTGTTCTTCCACAGGTGGGAGATGTGATCACTAGTTCTGGGCCTGATACCGGCACCAGCTGCTCACCAGAGTTGGGCAGGATTCTGCAGCTGAGGGCAGAGTACCTGGCGGGAGTGGGTGGCCCCTGTACTCCCCTCATTAATTGGGACCTCCTCAGCTCCTACAGTGAAAATGACCTGGAAACACTGAGGGATCTCGCAGAGACACGAGACCCAGAAAAGTGTGGTAGTCCTCCACTGCCTGGTGTGGCTGCAGTCGTGGTTTTTCTGACTGCAGGACTTATATTTTTGATGTGACTTGCGTCAATACGCTCGCGCACACACACGCGCGGCATGCACGCGTACGGTATGTCCTGCGCATGCGCGTACCGCTCTGCTCTGAACTGCTGCAATGTCCTGCACCGCCATCATCACCCTCTTTGCTGTTCTTGAGGTAGCATCTGTCTCGGCTCTTACATGGAGGTTGTAAGAAAGGTTTACTCCCAAAGATGTGCAAAAGTCTCTTCATTTTCAGGTATGGAAGAGGTATGTCCGGTGACCAGCTGCCTTCATACAAGAACGTAGTGAGTAACTGGTCTTGTATCGCGATTCGTGGCTAATTTTTTTATTATGCTGTGGTGCATAAGATTCCGTTGGAGTGTGTAGGCTGTAGTGGCAGTGATATCAGTTGGACAAGCAGCACCTGTCAATTCAGCGAAACAGATAATAGGAGGTATTGTACATACTTAGCTAGCAATGATCTACACCTAGCTACTGCAAGTTTTCTCAAGTCCATTAGTATTTTTAAAAGGTATTTGGACATCTTTTCTGTCTACCCCGCGGTGACCACTGCCTCTTGCTGCAAAGATCTTCATTGTGGGAAAAGCGAGCTTCAGAGCAAATTCGTTGCCTCATTCCCATACTGCATCCTTCAGTTGGAAAGTAGAATGCAAATGCAGTAGTTTCATAGCTATAGGTCTCGGACTCCGAACCTTCCTCCGACTTATCTACAAACCATGTGACAACATATTCTGGGGAAAAGGTAGGAATAGCTGCAGGATTCCGTATTTGCCCATTGCGGTTAATTAACCCATTTGTGCGAAATGGTCCAGATTTTGGCAAAAGTGGATCAAATTCTCTCAAGATGTGTTCATCCTCACCGATGGAAACAATGATAACGTAGCATATCTCTTGGGTGTATCGCAGTGTTCCTCCCTTTCTTAGGACAACTTTGCCTGTTTCAGTGCGTCGTGATTGCGCATAGGAACCAATAACATTTTTAAAGCTGCAGACAAATCCACGATTACCGTAAAATGACTCAGGCTCTTCCTTGAGATAGTTAGGAACATATGCTATTCTACCTTCATCCTTCATATCATCGATCTCTGCTGCAATTTTAGAAGTACACTCCCTCTTTGGGTGTATTCCCCACCAAGAATAAAAACCCGGAAACACAGTTTCCTCAGACCCTATTCTTTTAAACTTGGCTCCGTCTTTGATTGACTTATAAGATCCCAAGTGAGGCATTCCTTTGTCATGATAAAAATCTTTTCCAAACTTTTTACGGGCTTTAAATTCGTACCTAGCAGGATTCTTACGTATGCCGCGGTAATCATCATTGTGGGTAACATGAACTAGATTATAAATGGGTATTTCCGTATCTCTCAACATATCTAACAGTATTGGATCGTCTCCCTCTGGATATATTGTTGTGAATTGGTTTGGGAAGAGAACTTCGTGAAACACAGAGCACCGAAAATACCTATGAAAAAATAAGCGTATCATATACCAGAATTTCTGCCATTAATTCACACACTTTTTTCCAACTGTTTCTTGAGGTGATGCCATTGTAAAGCTTGCCATACTACGCTCTGTGGTGTAAGGCTGTGTTTCGGCTGTCCTTTTATACACTGTAATCTGCTGACTCACTGTTTAAATCTTGGACTAAATAAACCCCTGGGGAACACCCTAACGCGCCCAACATTATTCTTAGTAGTTCCTATTGATATTGCTGCATCACGGTATAGAGTACATTCCCTTGTGGAAAAGGGGTGGGTTGCCTCGTGTAAAATTTATGGAGGTCAATGAATCTCCAAAATATTACTACAGTTTGGTGGAAGTGGCATGCAGTAGTCCGGGAATCCACCAGATTTCAGTGCAGGGAACTTTCCCGAACATGTCGGTGCGTCCATTCTCACTCCATCGTGAATATCCCCCACTGAAGTGTTCATCTATGAACAGAGTACATTGAATATCCCACTGACGAGTGCCCCTCACTGCTACACCTGGAGAACAGGGACAGAATTCATCTACAATGGAACCAGACAGGTAATGAGTTAGCGTTTCTTAAGACAAGAAGAAGAGCTCTGAAGTTTATTCTTTCCAGATGACATTCTCTGTGTGGATTGAGCAGAGCAGCTTCTCAGATAGTCAGGTAAAATACCCCTCTGAGTTTCTCTCTAGAAGTTTTGCGTGGCTACAACAGCGAAAGGCTCTGACTCACCAGTTCTATTCTCTGGGAGAGTCTCCACAGCTGGTGACAGTCACACCGTCAGTAGAGCTCGACATCACAGCTCATGGCTTCAACACAGAGAGAAAGTCTGCCAGTACAATATTATGATAGAGCATGGCAAGGTTGACCCTCTGTGTGTGTGTCTGCAGTGTGTGGGAGTTTGTGGTGGAAGGAGTTGAGAACCTACCAGTGGAGGTGGTGATAGAGGTAGTCTGCAGTGGGGTCCTGGTCATGGGCTGTGGAGTCAGGTTGTCCAAAAGCTCTCTCTCTTGTTGTTCGGTAGATGGCTAGTAAAATCGAGTGTGTGTACAGTCCCCATAGGTTCTCCATTGTTACAAGACGACTCAACAACTCCATGGTGTCCACTAGTACAGAGGTGAGTACTAAATAACAAGTTCTAGCTCATTCTCTTTCGTTCAGTTTAACATCTCAGATTCAAGACTAACACTGATCCAAGTGGGTGCAGTGGAATTGAGGTGTAGGTCATAATTGTGGACCCTTCTTCACACATAGGATAGTGCTGCACTTGGTACTTCCATCCTACTCAATGGGTATGATACCAGAGTTTCTCTGATATCATCATATGTAGCAGTATAAACTCCTTACTCCAGTGGTATCAGCTATATCAGCCAAGATGACCTAGCTACTCTGGAACTGTTTGAAGTATATAAAACCTATGAGGCTGAGTGTGTGAATAATGTAATGATTATTAGGTTGTTGGTGTGAATGGAGAGATCAGTGATGCAGCATTCACTGGTTCCACACTCTGTCTTCTCATCATTGGAGAGATACACTGTCTTCCATATGACGACTCCCAGATCATTTCCCCTTCAGGTCTAGTAATTTGAAACCAATAAGGTTGAGTTGTTATCTGTGATACACAGTGATGAGTCTACCTGGTGTCCGTCGATTAGCTGGTAGAGGTATCCACAGAACTGGGGTATGTGTAGTTAGCTCTGCAACCCACGAGAAATATACTTTACCTGTTTCCATCCAGGAGACCTATGATGTAGTTGTCATCTGGTCAACATCAGTGAGTCAACGGCTTTCTCCCTAAGTCACACATCCTAAATCCTCTCCCACAGGCTGAAATGATTCTAGTCTCAGAAGATGGTGGAGTTAGCTTCACTGAACTCGGCCTCCCCTTCACTCCAGTAATCATAGTATGGCCCCATAGAAACTTTGTGAATATATTCATTGTCGGTTTCAGGAGTCAGTTCATTCAGTCAATGTACACCCCTTCAAGAGAATTGTTTCCGTTCTGACCACCATATCTGGTTCCCTGGTATATACACCTTTTACTGCCTCTCTAAAGCTAGTATATACTTTGGGAAAATGCAGGCTCAGTTTGTGCAATGTGATCTTGCTAACCAGAGCTGCTCTGAAAATGGACCATCATTTGCCTACAGTGGTAATGGTTAGGCTAGTAATGGTATCCTAGAGGATTGTAGCACACCAACGACAAAAATCTTCCCCATTCACCACGATAGGTGGGAATCTCAGTGCTGTATTCGGTGCAGACAGGTTTGGAGACTTATTCATCTGGAGCAGTATTGAGCTCTACTACAGTCCCAATGGAGGTATCAGCAAAACGAAGTGTGTAAAACTTTGCTGAATGTTACACTATAGGTGTGACTGTGAGGGCTCTACCAGTCAATGTACGCGGTGAAGGCTCTGGCCTCTTGAGTCCTGTGGAGTGGAGCAATGGAGAGGCTATCAAACAGACTGCATCTGGTGGGAGAGTTACTTTCACTGACTCATGCGTTCAGCCCCCCACCCTCTGGGTATAGGTGTTGGAGGACAGTTTGCACTGCTGAGCTCTTCAAACAGACTGTTCTATGGGACTCTATCATATGGCTCTGCAATAGAGGTTGTCTCGCATGTATATTTAGCTCAAGAGATGCAAGTCATCATTGTGGCATTGTAGATTGCCTCAGGTGCTCTACCAGACAGCCCAGCAGTGATCTCATTCAACAGTCTGGGTCAACTGAGGATCATCACCATTGAAAAGTAGACAGTATAGAGTATACATGGTTTCTACAGCATACCACCCTGTTATCTTTCCCTCTCTCTGCCAGCAGTGGTATTGTTGTTCACACTATTCCCACCTATTCACTGCTCATGGATGCCCTCTACCCCCCACCTGCCTGCCCGGTACTATTGACCCCCCTCCCCTGGAGCTGATAGCTACTAGTGACACTTGTAAACTACCCCACAGTTCACTCAGTGGAGGCACAGCACCCAGCAGAGTGTTTTCTACCTAGACAAGAGAGAAACTCTCACAGTTAGCCTCTGTCAACGTAATTTAGTTGTTTGATATCCCACGTTGCATTATACAGCTGTGGGCGAGTGTAATTCCAGCACCGTGGAAGGCAAACGAAATATCGGTAAGAACTCTCTAGCTAGCCATAGACAAAATTATATATTTCCCCCACTATTTACAGTTTGCAGTGTCAGACCCAGACAGTATTGAGACTACCAGTGAGAATGTTGAGCTCCAAACAGCAGTAGTTGGAGTTGTCCAGAGAAACCAGGTTACCATCAGTACTAGAAGAATCCACCATCCATCCCAATATACCCATTACTCAACTGTTCTCCATAGACTGTCACCATTAGTCCTGCAAGATCCCTCATCTCCACAGCAAGGTTAGTATTGTGTATAGAGGGCTCTTCAAAATAGTAGCACATTTGACGGATTAGGACTGCTGTGAAGCTGTCGGCTGCAGTACAGAACCTTGCCTGCCCGACCTCGGCAGAAATGGTAAGTAAGATCATCTGGTAGCTAGCTTTCTTTCATCAGTCCTGTTGTACAGGTATCAATGCTGGCTATGGAATGCCCTCCAGGAAGACACATTCAAGTCAAAGGGTAAACAACAGTTATCTTTTCGAGTTGTTTTTCCAACCTTCCCAACAGCTTGCCCAGAAGATGCAGTTCATATGCAGACTACACGTACACCATTCCTAAGTCAGTACATGTGCTCACACATACATTATGAATGAGACTTCTTTATGCCAGGAAAAACTATGACAGTACATTCAGAGATGGAAGGTCCAACTCGGACAAGGTGAAACATGTTAGAAAGAATCCATTGATCCATTAATGTTCCACAGAGGGTGGAGTACAATGTGGAGATGTACGGCTGTCCCATCGCTATTCCGTACACTCAGAGATTCAGACCAACTCTAGAACTGTAAGGGTAGATATAGACTCTTTTACTCATATTGACACATTCGTTCTACAAAGGTATGACGACGACGTTTATCTTGAAGAAGTTGATGCGGACTTTGTTGTGTGGGAGATCCACGGACGGCATGACTACAGCTACACAGCCACTGCCAAGAAGGTATGTTGTGTGCAATGCCCCATATTAGTATAGCTGCAAACTCTGAGAGAAACTCTCCCTCGCAAGGCACGGTGTCTCCAAACTCCTCAGTATTGGGATCAAATGTTGGCGAATGGAACTCCACCTTCAGAGGCCTGGACACCTCAAGTATATATTACACAATCTTACGTAGCTTCTGTGGAATAACTAAAGTGAAGCTGTGATTTGTTCTAAGACATACAGGTCTTGTTATGAGGGGGTAGGAGAGTTTAATGGAAAAGTGAAGTATCAGATATTGAACAGCAGTGGAGTGTCTTCACTGGAGTGGCCCGAGATAAATGGAATGTACATATTTGCAGCTACAGTTGTCGCCAGGGACTACAGGTATCAGTATCAACCACAAAAATTGATTGGGAGATTGTGTGAATTTTCCTCTCCCTTCGTGCAGCTTTTGTCACCTGACAACCCACTTTGCTGTGAGGATTTACGGAGCATCAGGAGCTGCTATCCTGGGCTACATACTGCTAGTGATGACCTGTCTCATTGGGATTGGGATTCTCGTATTCTCTTATTATCTCTACAAGCAGAGGCCCAAGATGTTCGCCTAGTTAGTACACTATGACAATGTATGGAGTCAAAAACATATAACCAATGTGGAACACTTGAGAGAGGTGATCATTTGTAGTTGTGGTGGCTCTGAGAAGAGCCGGTTGAGAGAAAAATAAAATAAAAGGTGGAGAGTTCAGCCGCCGAATCCGTAGAGGGTGCGCCCCTGCCTCTTGAGGGCGTAGACGACGTCCATGGCAGTGACGGTCTTTCTCTTGGCGTGCTCGGTGTAGGTGACTGCGTCACGGATCACGTTCTCCAGGAAGGACTTGGACGCCGCGGGTCTCCTCGTAGATGAGGCCAGAGATATGCTTGACTCCCCCTCGGCGGGCGAGACGACGGATGGCCGGCTTGGTGATGCCCTGGATGTTGTCTCGCAGGATCTTCCTGTGACGCTTGCCGCCTCCCTTTCCGAGTCATAGCGAGGGGGTCGGTGGTTTGGGCGCGTTCGCGCGCTCAGCGCAGCCGGACCGCATCGTAGTTTTTTGCACATTGTGCGCAGAAAACGATCCCTGAAAGTTTATCGCGTCGAGCGATATGCATATGGCGCGCCTGTTGCTCACGCGCACATGCGGTACACAGGCGCACGCGCGCGTTATTGAGGGCGCGTCCAACTGCGCATGCGTTTTTCTGGCCTTTTCCCTTTGCCTAATATGTAGCTACCCGTTAGTCGCTCAAGTGTTATAGCTACTCCGCGTCTGATTCGCCATGATTGCTGGTCGGGAAGCCCTACTGGTGTTTCTCGTCTCCCTCTGCCCGGTGTTGGTGAGTTGCTCCTGCGCCTCTGACTTTTGCGTGCCGCCTAATGTCAATCGTACGGAAACGCTGAAGGAAGCGCTTGTATACAGCCGCAGCCAAGTCTATTCGGGCGTCGTGCTGGGAGCGACCTGCTCTTGCTTCAACGGGGACAGCGCGATGGATTGTCGTCGCTATTCCTACACTGAGGAGAGCGGCATTTACACGGTCGACGTCATCAATCGTGTCGTCGGAATCGACGCCAGAAACTTGCACTTCAATTTCTACTTCAAGACCTGCACGGAAGCCGAAAGAAACTGTCTAGCCGTTGGTAAGCCGGCCAAATAGATGTGGCATTGAGATGGATTAAAGCAAGTCTTTACATGTAGGCGAAAACATTCGAAGAGGGCCAGAGCCAGAAAACACTAATGCTAGTAGCGCTCATCCCTATGCAGTGCCGGTTTGCCACTTTGAAACCAATGATGTGTGTATGTATTTAATTCGAGTCACCGAAGTCTTTGTTGGGACTTACACAGTAAGTGATATTCTTTGCTCCAATGCTAAGAGTGAAAACTCATCTCTGGTCTAGGTTGGTGAGGTAGTCAATAGCTCTGGTCCGTATGTTAATCTCTGTGGTCAACTGGGTAGGATACTGCAGCTGAATGAAGAGTATGTGGCCGGTGTGGGGAGTTCTTGTAGCAACGCATTCCGGTCGTGGTCTCCTCTGAGCGATTTCACTGAGGATGACCTCAACTTTCTGAGAGGGACTCTAAATGATGATTATGACAAGTCTGGCGATAAGACTAGAGATGGCGACAGTCTAATGAAGAATGAAACATTTGTAGGTGGTGGAAATAACGAGACTTCCATTAATGAGAGTGCCACAGTTTACTCATCGGCTGCAGCAATCATCCTACTGACAGTGACTGGAATTGCACTCATGTGATTGATGAATATACATACTCATAATATCGTTGCATTCCCAACATTGTTGATTTGATTAACACACATAATAATTATCATTGCCCTCCTAACATTGTTGAGTATAATTTTTTTTCTTTTTCCTCAAGTTCTCTAGTCTTCTTTTCGAGGAGAGCGAGCTGCTTCTTGATCTCTTTATCTGTAACAGCATTTATAAAACATGTGTGCACACCCCCATATGTATATACATCAAGGGACTACAGTGTAATGTTGTTAGGCATAGGTGCCAAATCAATTATTTGAACGGTGATGTACATGCCTCCTTACTGTCTGGGGTGAGAGACTGCGCCCGAGACAAGTCCTCCCTGGCCTTGTCTGGTTCATTGAGGTGGATACGAGCAGTTCCACGTCGAAACAGAGCCTTGGAGTTATCGGGATCTCCCTCCAGTACCTACAGTGTGCAAGAGGTGAGATCCACCGCACAGCAAGTATATTATTCATCTGCCTCACCTTACTTGCATACTCTAGCACTTTTTCCCACTTTCCAGTCTTCAAGAAACAGGCTGAAAATCAATGCATACTAGGAGCACATAGTGTGTTGGGTTTGTGCCAAGACTATTGGCATACCGGCTAAGTTGTTTGATAAGATGAGAGATAGTTCCTTTGCCGCTATCTTCTCATCCTCAGTGGCTACATACTTGACCATCTGCTCCATCCCAGGTATAGCAGAGACATCTCCTGTACTAACCACCCCCCTGGTGTACATCAGGGAGTGGTGGTACTTCTTGATGGCGGCTCTGTAGCCCCCAGCCTTGAACTCCCGGTTCCCTTCGTCTTTCAGCTGATGGGCTTTGGCCAGCTTGTCTGAGCACCTCTCTACCAGTTTCTCGCCAACTCCAACTGACTGCATGCTGCTCCCCTGCTGCTGGAGATATAAAGTTCAACCATATCACACCCGGGAGATCTACCTGAAAATCCACGCCTTCAATAATGCGCATGCGCGATGAGCATGAAAACACTGCTCTTCTGCAAAATTGGCCATTATTTGATGTTTGACGTGACGACTTGAAGTTTGGGCATGGCGGCGTTGAGAGCAAGATTTTCCAGAAACAGAGCCGCGGCGGAACACTCCCAGGTGAGTGGGCTCGGGTAGGATCCGCGAGGGAGGGGCTGACTTCTTGTTTTGCAGAGAGTGCTGACGCAGCAAGCGCTACTTGTACCTCACCGTGAGCTGCAGCACAGCCAGCTAAACCGTCCGTGCACCACTAGTTCTCTCTCTCTCTTTCCTATATAGTGCCAAATGGGGATACTGATTGGAATACTCTGGGGAAGATGTTGACGGCTAGCATCATTGGCGAGGTCGTTAGCTAGCTCAGAGACACATACTGGCTCGTTGTAGCTATGATACTATGGTTCTGCAGGTATTGTGTGCTTCTTACATTGACAAGAAGCATAGAATGGCACGACCACAGTTTACTGTCGACACTGACTGGAGGTAAATCCCTAGTAAACTTTTTTTGACTCATGGCTTTCACTTTGGTAGCAGCTATGCGTATGAAGAGAAAGACGTGGTGGTTCTAAGGAAAGAGTTCCCAGATTCACCGTTCCACTGGTCGGGATTCTAACTGTGCATATAGCCCAAAAACCTATTGTACTTTTGCAGTTGGATGGGACGAACCATCATCCAACGTCCCATGAGAGAGATTGCCGACTTTCTCCAAGACCCTGCATCAGTCCCCATCTACGACAAACACATAGTGGTAGGTGCATCCTCATACCTGCCATCTCTCTTGCCCTATAGAACCTTGTGCCTTATCAGGAATCAAAACATATCAAAGTTCTGTCAGAGTCTGAGACACACAAAGATGTTATTGGTGAGCAGTCAATAATAATACACATGCTGAAAGTGTTAGCTATGCAGCATACTACTTGGCTGAGGCAAGGGAATGCCTGGTTACTGCCAAAAGGGACTTTTCGTTCTTCGTCCGCCACACACACTTTGTAAGTGGTGTTTGTGCCAAGGGAGGGTTACATACACAACCTAAACAGCTTTAGGTATATATACCCTAAGACAAGAGTAGTACATTTATGTGTGATTTGGGTGTTGCTGCATTTTGCTGCCCTGCCTGTATGTACACAGGATGATAAGTATGTGATGACAGTTCTGTCTGTGGACCACCCTGAGTGCCCTCCACTAGACGGCGTCCCTAGAGCACAGGTGAGGTCACCCCAGGGGAATAAATACCATTGTTCCTGTGAGGTGATTATCCTTTTCCAACTGATGAGTATATATAGTAGTCTTATGCCATACATGCACAAACAAACCTTCCCAGTTGCAAACTGGGTTTGTTAAGTGTTGGATATTGCCAAACATGTTCTCTATCTGTCTAACTCAATGTGCAGCTACTGGAAGGCAGTGGGTGGCATTTGGAGAGACACATGGGCAGCAACTCAAGAACCCTTGTCACCTACATTGTCCATGTGAGCCTTTACTATACTCTCCACGTTCAAATCTGTGATTTGGATTTCCGGTCTGCAGACTGACCTAAAGGAGCTCCCTCCCATCATTGCCAATCGAGTGCTCAAGAGGCAACCTCTGAATGCCTACTACGTCAAGAGCCATCTCATGAAGCTACACTTACAAGAGGAGCAACTATCGGCCACCTTTTATCTTCCTCTCCCCATCCCCCAATCGCACGAAGACAGCCAGAAGAGCTATAGCTATAGCGGGCGACACTTTGAAGAGCAACTGTCTGTCAGGGCATTCACAAGCAGGCAAACAGAGATCGTGAATAGAGGAGCTGTGACACTGCCTCAGAATGACAGTAGTCAGTCATGTTGGGACAGTACACAAGTGTCAAGCCACAGTCACAGTCACGAGGACAATAATGATACTGAGCCGAGAATGCAGGACCATCAGCCAGCTACAGACCCAGGGTTCACTGACAGCGACTAACTTCACCTTCTTCTTTTGTCTTTTCATCAACTTTTTATACACAGTTTTTTAAAAACAAAGTACTACAGCAAACGAAGCACACACACACTGTCATATATACACGTAAAAGACAAATCAGTTGTGACGAGGATCTGACACTGTTCGTCTGGTCCGCAACGAGTCACGTGTGAACACTCTGACAGGCAGGGCATCCTCAAAGTGTGTGGGATCAAACCCTCCACCCTCCTCCCCCTCTCCTTTCTCCCCCTTCTCAGAGGTCGAGGGAGACAGAGAGAGACTTCTTTGTATCTCTCTCTGACGCTGAGCGAGGTGTTTACTGACATAGAGTATGTTCAGCGGTTGTCTCTTGAGTACGCGGTTTCCAATAATAGGAGGAATATCCACCAGGTCCATCTAACATAGGAAAACAACAAAGCCACGCTAACTATATAATTATGGACTATCATCGTCCCTATTGTGTTTGCAGTAACAAACTAAACCCCTTGTCAAAATATCTGTCAGACACTTACATGAGCCAGGTAGGTGACCAATGTTCTCTGTTGACTCCCTCTGAACGGCTCCAGATGCCATCCGGCCCCCAGATTTATCTGAAAGACCAAGTTAAAAGCAACGACTTAAACTTTCTATCCGTCTCACCAGTGCTCTGACTACTCCAGGAACAGGTGGACATGCTGTGTGCTCCACTGACATGGCAGTCTGGATGTATTTGCCATCCTATATACCATCAGTACTCAAACATTCCAACTGAGTTACCACTTGCTTACAAAGTGGAGGTAGCGAACGTAAAAGAGGAAGTCTCGAACTGTCTTGACCAAACAATGCTTAGCTTCAGATTTGTAGTATGCTGCAAAGAAACTGAACTCAGTATCTGTTTGTCTTGCGGTGAGCCGTGACTTACCAATAGCATCTGTATGAGTTTCGGAATACGATATGCGATGTACCGTTCTTGATTCCTGTATAATAAATGTTATCACACGACAGAGAGAACTGGGGTGACTCACGGTGATGTACTTGTCATACAGAGGAGCTGAGTCGGGGTCTGCTATGAATGAAGCTATTTCCTCCAGTGGAAAATCAATCACAGTCCGACCCATCCAACTATAAGCAGGTTGAGTATCATAATCCCACTATGTAGGCACAGCTATATACAGTACCTAACATTATGCTAGCTTTGTCTAGTTCAAGGTATTATGCAGTAAGGGTGACCTCACCTGTGAATGGGGGAGTCAGCATTGTTCTTCCTGAGCACAACCACGCCACTTTCCTCATATGAAAACCTGTATGAAACAGTGTAGCAGTGGAGTGACGGCAGGCAGAGGGGCTCTTTTACTTCCAGTCTGTGTCCACCGTGAAACTTGGCCGTGACTCCCTATGCTTTATGTCAATATACGACCCATACAATACCTGCAGAGACAGAGTTTTAACGAGCTAAAAACAAGCCATTCCCTCGGTGCAGCGTTCGCAAACCTCCTCCACCATTCTCGCAGTCAGAATGTTTCCAAGCGTGTTCCAGTCCACCTCCCCGTTCTCTTCTGTAGAAAAGAGCAGTAGGGACGTCAGAGAGCAGCGCGGAGCTTGTAGACTAGCTTACTGGTGGGCATCATCAGCGACCTTAGCGTTACCACCCCCTCCGCCCCCTGTTTGTGGAAAACAGATACTTGCGCGTTGGTCTTCCTGCGTTTGCCCGTACCTGAAGATTCAGCCTAGCTGTTTCCATGACCTTCGCTATTCAGGGGCGCAAGTAGACGAAACGCAAACTTGGGTGGCCGGCTGGAGACTAGAGGTGAGCCCCGCCCTGAGCGCGCGGAGTTAACATGCGCACACATGCGCACAGCTGGGGATTTTGCTCCGGACTTCGCAGACTTGGTAGTCGCCGGCAATGAGCCACTGCTAGAGCCGAGCAGACTTCCTGCGCAATGTCAGCGGTGAGCTGTAGTGCAGACTACATTGCAAGTCATACCTACCTCTTATGTATTCCAGTGTGCCTCAAGCCCACTTACACTGCCCAAGAGTAAGTTCTTGTATTTGCTTGCAAGAGCTTCAGAGGCCCGTAAATGTACGTATTTCAGCTGAGCAAGGAGACGTTGACTGGAACACTCTAGGGACAACTCTTGTCGACCATCTCATTGCAGAGGTATCAAATGAAGTCAATGTCAACATCAACTGTAAAAAAATTACACTTGCAGTCGTTTTGTCTCAATCGCTTGGACAAGAAATATGGAGATCCACCCACTGAAGTTGCAGCCATTTATGACACTAGTTGGCAGTAAGATAATGTGTTTTCTGTCCAGTGTTTGTACAAGTCCACTTTTAGTTTACCCATCCGTTGAAAAGGGGCCGTTTTGTAGGTTTGACTATGAGAAGGAGGATGTTGTTGTGTTCAGAAAAAAAAACAGAGGTTCGAAACTGTCCTGCTTTGCTGGTCGAGGACTCGTTTGTGCGCCGCACACGGTCGTTGGTGAGTTTATGACTGATCCAGAGTCTTCATTTCTCTGGGACAAATTCCTGACAGTAAGCTCTTGACATAGCTGGTGATATCGCTCTTCAAAATATTATGCACCCAAATGCAGGAATCAAAATATCTCAAAATATTTTCTCAGACTGAAAGTCGCACCGATTACCTTGGTATTAATACTAACTGTTTTTTTTTTAAGCTATGAAATCGTGCGTCTGTTGTTCAGGCTACCAGAAGTTTTCATCGTCCCACTGCTTTTCCTTCCTGCAGAGAGACATTCTTTGCTTTATTCGCAGCGGAGATATTGTGAGGAATCTTTTGTCATTCTGAATAAGCTCAATAATGAGATAACGGAGATTTTTCTTCCCAAAGAATGGAAAGTTTGTCCACTCCGCCGTGTCAGTTGAGGACGAACACTACCCACCACAGAGATTTCTACCCAGATGCAATGTACTTTTCAATTTAAGGTTGAATACATGTGCTCTCTATAGCAGTTTCCTCACCTGCAGATATATTTGGGCACTGGGTTTGTGATAGAGCCGTTCAGAGGCAGCCCTAACACTTCTCTTGTTACGTACTTTGGACATGTTAGTCTTACCTGTTCTGCTGTGCTGATTAAAATTGCCAATTATTTCACCGCAGGTTGATCTAAGAGGTTTTCCCCTGTTCATAATGAATCAAGTGATGCGGATGTACCCGATGGCAATCAGACTGATCAGTAAGAACTTTGAGAGCCAGGCATCACTCCAGCACCTCCCCTCTCCCTCACCACCCCCGGCCCACCCCTCCCCCACCTCCCCTCCTTCATCACATGAACAGAGTCTCCCCTATCAAGACGACCTCTCCCTTAGTATGTTCTTAGCAAACAGGCATTGAGCACAGCACGGCTCAAAACATCATTTGTTTTTATAGCACCAGCAGTCATGTGAACTAACACCGTCATGTTCTATTGTGTGTTAGTAGTAGTGGGAAAGGAAAGGACAAATGGCAATAATATAATTCACACGTAGCATACAATGATTGCTTGGCAGGTGAGAGAAGGGAGACTAAAGTATCTGTCACCCTTCATCTTCTCCCTCCTGACTAACTACCGGTACTCCGTCCAACTTTTTAAGCTTGGAGAGTCTAGCGAGGGCCTTATCTCTCCAGTCACCCTCCGTACTGTGCTTTTCCTCCAGTGGATTTCCCACAAACAGCAGGTTTTCTAGGGCCGGGAGCTCAGCCAGTTTCTGGAACTCTCCCCAATCCTTGATGTTGTTGTTGGATATATACAGCACCTATATTGTGTGTGTGTGTTTTGGGAGCTGGCTCAACAGGTGACACATGCAGCAATTTGGCGGAAACACAACAATATCAGAAACAGCAACCATAACATTGAAACACATAACATAACACCTATCGTTGGCACACTATGGAAAAGTTGAAAAGCATGGCTTGCACAGAAACTGAGCTGTCCCAAACCGATGCATGCAAACAATCAACTCCAGCTCTGCCCAGGTGTGCCACACCTTGAGCTTCTTGAGCACTGCGATGCCTTTTAACTTCTCGATGTTGTTGTAAGATATCCACAGCTGTTCCAGTGTGTCTGCTACTGCATCCTACATACATCTCCAGATGAAATACCGAGAACTTGATCCAACTGGTACACTTACAAGTCCAGTCAAGTTTTTTATCAGGTTCCGTCCGAGAGACAGAATCTTGAGTGCCTCTAAAAGTTTGAGTGATGAATGATTGTTGTGCAGAGTTGTTTGTCTTACTCATGCCGTTCAGGTTGGTGATCTTGTCAATGCAGTTTGAGGATAATGAAAGCTTTCTGTAGGGGGAAACACAGATGGGGAATGTATGGTGCATGCAGGTGTTCCCTGGTTCTCACTCGCAGGCTGCCAGAGTGGAGAGACTGGCGTCCATCTTCTCAATGGGAGGGAGCTGCATGTACAGCTGAATCTCAGTTGCTGCCTTTGGGTCTTGCCCCGACTTCTCAGCCTGAGCAGATGCACAGATTGCCACTATTAATGATGTGTGTTCTGCACACGCCCCTCAGTCAGTGGATTAGCTAGTGAGCTAGCTAGAATCTCACCCATTTTGCAACGGCATCTTTGATGCTGGTGCCTTTGTTTGCCTGCAGGATATGCAAGTGTGCATGCTTGCGTGCTTCAGTGCTAGTGTACGGGTACGCACCATTACGGTTCCTTCCTTGAGTTTTCCGTGCCTCCAAAATCCACAAGCTAGCCAGGAAATAACATTACCCGTGGCAACCAAGGTCACGTGATCATATTTAGATGCGCTTCTTTTAGAGAAAACCCACGAGAATGGCAAGCAGCAGCGGTGCCAGCGATCCGTCGCTGCTAGAGCAAGGTGAGTGTACTGGACGCGGTTTACCCTGAAGTCAGTGCATCAGTACTCAAAGCCGATGTTGCATGGCACTGTGTTGCAGTACTGCTTTCCCCTCAGCTCTGAACTATGACGAAGCGACGATGGCTCAAGTGGAGCGTATCCAGAAAGAGGTGTGTACACTGCTGTAGTCTCATCCAGGCCGGTGGGTCGTGCGTGTATCTCGTGCAGATAGCCGAGTCCGCTCCGCTGGTGGGAGAGAGAGAAGACCTGACGTGTCTGGAGGCAGAGTATGCCAAGGAAGACACCGTCTATCAGGCAAAGATTCAGGCAAGTCTCACTCTCAACTAGCTATATATCAGTAGTATTATATGTGTGTATACCTGGGAATTGTCTGTGGTGTAGAATCTGAGATCGCGCTACTCGCAGCTCCGTAGGACTCGTGGAGATGGCAACTGTTTCTTCAGAGCCTTTGCCTTTGGCTACATGGAGGGCTTGCTACGTGACAAGTCTGATCTGAGCAGGTGAGTCTCTCAGTTAAAGCACAATACTTATGTATATACCTAAGTTTCAATATTTGGATTAATGGTAGTGAATAAAAGGTAAATGTCCCACAATAAACTTTAGTAGTAGAAAAAAACGGTGCAAAAAATGTCTTTCAACAACTGACTTTAGGTTTAGAGATGCAGTCAACAAACAGAAGTCTGATCTACTGGCTCTGGGCTACCCGACTTTTACTCTCGACGATTTCCACGATAACGTGAGTGCCTCTGATAATGTGAACACACATTTAGTGCTCCGTCAATCTACTGACAGTTCATGGAGACGTTGGAAGAAGTTGCAAATCCAGCAACCACCATTCAAAGCCTCACAGAGGTAATATACATGTATCTGTTACTACTCCCCCTAGGAGGTATGTTGTTGGTTTATAAGGCCTGAGGGGATAAACTGGCGACATATGAACCTCTTAAAAATACATAAGGGTGTAAATATCCTAAAACCTATCCACTCTCTTTCACCAAGTGTGTGTGTGTGTGTGTTATTTCAGAAATTTCAGGACCAAGGTTGCTCAGACTATGTGGTGTGCTACCTTCGCATCCTCACCTCAGGACACCTGCAGACAAACAGTCAGTTCTTCCAGGCATTCGTGGAGGGAGGCAAAACCATGAAGGAATACTGCAGTCAGGTATACATGAAATTATCTCTAAAAACACCATAGCTTATTTTGAGTTAGTTAAAAGATCACCTGCACCGTTTTGTTTAATTTTAACTCTAGGAGGTGGAGCCAATGTACCACGAGTGTGACCACATGCACATTACGGCCCTGACGGCAGCTCTGGGTGTCCCGGTACGAGTGGAGTACATGGACAGAGGGGAAGGGGGTGTGGTCAACCACCACGACTTTCCCGAAGAAGGCTCACAGCCAGTCATTCACATACTGTACAGACCTGGTCACTACGACATCCTCTACAGATAACCAGCACCACCACAACAAACACACACTCAGTCACAAACACTTCTTCAACACCAACAGCAACTTGACTAGGTGTTCCTTTCATAAGATGGTGTAGCAGAACTCTCTCTGATGACATTTGACATCAACAGTATGATGATGATATTTGTGTGAAACGCTCCTGAATGCATCAATAATTGCACCTACATACCTGGCATGCATGATCTGTCCATCAAATGAGATAAGCTGACTACAGTAGCTGTCAACAGTGTATGTTATACACACACACACACACACACACTTTAATCGGCCTCAGCTAGGTGACTGTCTTGTAGGTACCCTCGCTGATAGAGAAGATGTGACTGGCCTCTTCCAGATGGTCAATGGCTGCTCTCACTGCAGCAGCTGGCACGTGCTGCAATCTCTGTGTCCCTCGGACGTGCTCCACGATCCACTCTTGAGGGACTCCACGAGTAGCTGCCCCTGTAATAACGAGCAATCTCCGGTCAACACTGCATTCAAAGTATAGACAGTGGAAGAATTACTTGGATGGTGGAGCTTGTGCTTTATAAAGTCTAGTATCACTGGAAACAAGTGTTTCTTTTCACACAGCAACTGCAAACCAACAAACACAACAGTTCACGTGTAAATACACTACAGCACAGCAAGATTCACCATACAGTATAAACTCACTTCAAATGTAGCTGAATCTGTTGCAGGGACAACCAAGCCTCTGCCAGGAAGACTCTTCACCACAGCTCTCAGCTCTCTCTCCACCTCTCCCCTCCCTCCCTCACCAGTCTCGCTCCTCACACCCTCCCACACGGCACCCATCACCTCGTCACTCCCAGTCAATGTGGATAGGGTAAATATGGAGTTCCGTGAGCTCAGGTGACCCAGCAGTACTTCTTCAACCAACTCCTTCACTGGCTGGAGAAATAGTGGAGAATTTGTAAGAGAAATATATCTAATAATGCAGTAAAATTCCAACTTTTGTACGTGACAAAATTTTATGCCTCAATAATATAGTTACTGATGCAACACCGAGTCTGAGAGGAGAGAGAGAGAGAGACGAAAAGCCAACCTTTGCTGCCACCTCTCTCTGGTCCCCAGTCTCAGTGACACCGGGAGGAAGAGTGAATGATGTGGAGTAGACGGTTCTCCAGAGATGCTCCACCTCCAGCCAGTGACACGGCTCTGCATTAGGATCCTCCTCTGGAACTACAACAACAACAACAGACACTCCTTCTCTTTGAATAGGCCTCAAGTTCAGAGTATGCACCATAAACATGAACCAAACTCTATGGCCTTAATGTCTATACCTGAGAAGTGCCTTGTGTGATCATATTTGTAAAGACTATCAATTCAAATTCAGCAAAAAATCTATAAGAGCCCATATTGAACCGTTGTTCACCAGACTTACTGATGGCGGTGACTTTGAGCTGTCTCTGGTCCCTGAACTGGTCGACGGTACCCAGCACTGACACCAGCTGACCGATCCCGGGCTGGTAGATACCCTCACTGCTCTCCCTCGTCTTCCTCCACTGGACACAGCTCACTACCCCCGACCCATCATCCACTAACACACACACACAAACTCAAGGTAAACCCCACTCTAAGAAACTATATTCCTTCATGAGCTTACCATCGTATATGACGGGGCCACTCTTTTCCCTCACAGAGACAACATCTCCCATCACATGTACACCCAGCACTGGATGGTTCCCAATGCAGTATATACCTGCACCAATCCACCTCTCCTTTCACACATTATTTGCAGGCTAACTAAGCCACCGACCAGGGAACTCTGGATACGGCGAGAGGTTTAGGACATCTCTAATGTTCAGCTTCAATTTAGCCGAGAATAGCGGGTCCAGTCCCCAGAAACGAGGAGGGAAGAACTCCACTGTCCCAGCCCCAGCTTCGTTGCTACTCATACAATTCTTACAAACGCCCACCATATGACGTCTATTAGATTCACCGGTAGTGAATGACGTCATAGCGAGTAAATAAAACTCAGCGTGTAGGAGAGAGAAGCGGCAATCGTTGTAGCTCTGAGAATAGGATCTCTGCCGATTCTCTGGACAGACAATGAGAGTTCTTGTGAGTTGAAAGACACGTGCACATGGGTAGAATGAGGCAGGGCTGATCCTGTCGTCTTTGGCCGGATTAGCCAGCCAGCCCTTGTCAAAAATTATTACAGAGGGTTATCGTCCATGGCGTTGTGATACAATTTGTAGCAAGTCACATAGCGTTTCGTGAGATAACTGACAGTACTCCTGTGGCCCTGGCCCTTGGTTTACCTTCCACCCAGTATAGACTACAGTAGTCATGTGCCCTGTGTGGCTGTGAGCATTGTGTTGGTGTGTGTTCCTCTGAATGGGACAATTGTTAATTTCCTTGTAACCTCTATTCCACAGCACGTCCTCCCTGTGGCCTCTTTGGGTGAGTGTGTCTTATACCGCACTTGGATATCCATTACTTTATGTTATTTTTGTTCTCACTGCAGCACTTCTGTTGTGCCTGTGGGCCTCCCCTACAATCGGTAGGTAGGAATTGTTCTACCATAACACTACATAGTGTATAGTGTATCTATGGTTCTACGAAGCAGTAGTCTATTGGCCTAACCAGCCGGTTCAGTATCGTAATACATTACTATACCCTTCACTTTGTATAATATGCAGCCACCTCTTACGTCCTCTGTCCGTCCGCTGACGAGACAATCACCGAGGAGTCCCCCTGCCCGACAGAGTGCTACAGTGACACCCAGTGTGAGAGCAACGCCTCCCTCTGCTGCCCCACTTCCAACTGCGGTCGCCAGTGCCTGGCTGGAGTAACGGTTCCCCACACTCCCCCGGTCGTAGCCTGTCTGTACGCGGACCCTGATACCGTCGGAACCTGCGCAGAGTTCTGTAGCTCTGACTCTGATTGTGTCGTCGACGGTGAAATATGTTGCCCCAATAGCTGTGGTCACACATGCACGAGTGGTACACCGGTGACCCCGATATGCCGGGTAATCTTGGAGAGCCGCAACGGGACGCAGCCGCGAATCGGGGAGTACGTCCCGCAGTGCGATGGGGAAGGGAGATTCGCTGAGGCCCAGTGCCACGGCTCCACTGGCTACTGCTGGTGTGTCAGACCTGATACAGGGGAGCCGGTTGGGACTGCCATAAGTCGACAACCACAGTGCAACAGTGAGTGGCATTAGGTCTCTGTGTTGAATGTAGGCAAATGGATCAGCTTTCACGGGTCCATTAGCCACTTACTGAAATTTGAATGTGGTTACTTCATTTCGCCATATATAGAGCAAACATTGTGCCATATGCCATTATAATTATGCACACAATTTTGCCTCACTATTAAGCTACCGCTGTGATTTTCGTTTAGACTGTTCCCACAATGGCCAGGTGAACTATCCCGGGGACACTTTCCCAAATGACTGCAATACTTGGTAAGAGCCCTCCATTATGACACTGTGATTAATGTTCGTCTTGTCCCTGATAGTACATGCTTTGAAGATGGCTCATTCGCTTGTACTGAAATTGGATGTGGTAAGTGCTGCCCTTCGTTTTGTGTGGCTAATGTACTGATGTATTGTGTCAGGCCATTAGCACCTTGTATGGCCACCTGCTGAAAGGGTATCATTGGCATGTTAACACAGTCCCCACTGCTTTCCACACAATACATGTACTGCGCCCTTGCCTTGTATGCCTGCCAATGCACATCATTAGCTGCACTTGCATGTGTACATAATTGTCTCCATATTTGTCTTGAGTAAGAGCCGGTTTACATAATGAGACTCCTACACATACTGTTAGAGAGAGAGAGTTATTCAACTCCACAACACTCTGCATACAAGATATTTGGAAATAGTGGCTCGATAAATCCCTAGGTCACTGATATTCCCACCTGCTGTCACAGGTCCGGCTCCCCCTCTTCTTCTCCTGCCCCGTTCTGGAGGACGACGCGGTCGGAATCTGCTCCGAGGAATGCAGCAGCGACGCAGACTGTAATTCCGACCAAAGTGTTGTTCCAACGGCTGTGGGCACACCTGCATGGACCGCGTCCCTGTCCCCTTCATCCCTCCTCCGCGACACTGCCCCGAGGAATACGAGTCTCCCGTGTGTGACCTGCAGGAATGCACGGATTCCTGCGACGACCATCGCCAGCTCTGCTGTCAGAATACGTGCGGGAGCCGACTCTGCATCGACGGCGAACTCCCCCAATCCCCTTGCACAGACACCGTTAACGGCCTAACGGGAGGGGTTCTACTCGGGCAGTACATCCCGCAGTGTAACGAGGGGACGGGGGCGTTCAAGGGTCTCCAGTGTTCCTCGCACTACTGCTGGTGTGTGGACCCACAGAGCGGAGAGCCTACCACTGACATGAGAGAGAGCGGGCATGTGGGAGAACTCGAGTGCACGCGTGAGTCAAGAGAAACACTGAGTATGCATGTCTACTAACACAAGGAGTATTATCTTGCAAGACATCTGAATAGATCTTGATGCATGCGTACTGTTTGATTTGTACCTGTTCTCTTGTCAGGGTGTTCTGTGAATGGTGAGATGTATGACCATCAGGTGATAGTGGAGACTGATGGCTGTACTGTGAGGTAATGTTTAATGCGAGTACAATGTCCTCATTGTGGTGTCTTAACATCATAATGCTAGTCGTTTTAGTCGCTTTATACATACACTGCAGTAAGTGTGTGGCTGGAGAAATCGAGGAGGAAACGGCTGAGGAGTGCAGTAAGTGTTGAACTGCTCTATTATATACAGCAGTGCTGGTTGAATGTGACACCTCTCTGCCAGGTCAGTGCAAGTATGAGGACAAGGTCTACCAAGATGGAGAAATAGTGGAGTTTTATGGCGGATGCTCCAAGAAGTAAGTGTATAATGTTTTACTGTTTCAGTGTCATCCCTCTCTGTATTGTTGTTCACTGCAGGATATGTGTTGAAGGTGACGTCATTTTCCGTGAAACTTGCGGTATGTTTTATGTACCTTTACCATGTGTATTACCGGCAGTGTCTATGTTATATACCTGTATATTATATCTACAGACCCGTGTGTAACGAACGGACAGATATATGAGCACGGAGAGGAAACCGAGAGATGCGGACTGTGGTACGTGTCTTGAGTGTTAGCGTTCACTTGGTTCTGATTCACCTACTGTAGTTTTCTAATTTTGATAGTTTGATAGTAGGGGCTGTGTTGTCTGTGTATACACTACATTTTGCAGCAATGAAGTTTTATTGAGTGTTGTTCTTCTCTTGTTTCTTCCAGTAAATGTTGGGATGGAGCAATAATGTGTCAGCGCTCAGCAGAGCCCTGCGATGATTATGACGATGATGATGTCGGTGAGGATAACATTATACTCCATTATGACTCTTTGATGCTCACAATTTATGCACAATAAAATTGAATAAGCTAAAAATTGTTGCAGAACATATTGAGGTATACATTTTTACTCCCGCTTGTTGTATATCTGAGCAAATGGCAAAATAATATACCAAAATTATTCCGGCATTATCGTCGATGCTTTGAAAGACCTATTGTGCTCGAAATTACGCCGGCATAATAATTCTCGCCCCTAGATGATAGTTCTGATAATGATGAAGACAGCTCTGAAGATAGCGATGAAGAACTGGGTATGTTTGTGCTGCCATATATATACCAGAGGGAGAAAGCAAAAGTGTATTTCCCATGAAATAAAACTTCTGCGGATGGCTCATAAACTGCTAAAGTTTTCTCCCGTGAAAGTTTCCCGCTATGTGTACATGTACATATATATACGGGTACTTAACAGTAGCTAATGACAGGATCTCCCCCCTATATCACTGACAGAGGTGGATGACCTCGAGTGGTGGCACTACTTCCTCCTTGGCTCCGGGACACTTATTGCAGTACTGGCCGTCGTTGCCATAGGCCTCATTGTGGTGAGTTCATTTAGTTCGACAATTTGATTGAACTCCCAGAATGTATTATACATAGCATGGTATTTTAATGACCACTGCAATTTCCAGCTATATATTATATGCACTGTGTATTGTATTGTGTGTGTGTGTGTGTGCAGGTGATGGTATTTGTCATCAGAAGCAGCCATTTCCGGCACTCAAGACTCAAGGAGAACGCCGAGGCCCTCAGTTTCGAGTCGGACACACAGGTCCTGTTCAAGAGCGGACCACCGGAGGGAGAGAGTGTGGAGCTGAAGGTCCCCGTGGAGGACGAGGACGAGCCCGTCAAGGCCTGATGCCGTGGGGGGAAGACCCTGTAATTAGTTGCCATCGTCTCACAAACTTCACACGATTGTCATACTGTAATAATAATACAACTGTGTTTAATGTGTCATAATTGTTCACATGTGGTTGCAGATCAGTCAATTGCGTTACCCTTTGTGTGTATTGTACCAAACAAGATCAGACTTTTTATCGCTGTCATCAAAGTGAGCTACAATTTTATGCAGCGAAACGGTGTAGTCTATCATATAGATTACTGTAAATTTCTCATGGAAAATAAGTGTGGGGAAAGGTGTAGATCAATGTCCACAGACTAATGAAACAGTTGGCTAACACGGAGTGCAATACAGTCTACTTTGGTCCAAGCATGTCTTCTGGCCGGACAAACTTGTTGAAATCTTCCTCTGACAACAGCGCCAGCTGGACGGCCGATTCCCTCAGGGTCAGCCCCTTGGCGTGGGCATTCTTGGCAATCTTGGCCGCATTGTCGTAGCCAATGTGGGGGTTGAGAGCCGTCACAAGCATGAGAGACTCGTGGAGAAGTTTGTCGATTCTCTCGCGGTTGGCTTGGATCCCCACCACACAGTGAGAGGTAAACGACGTGCAGGCATCTCCGATGAGTCGCACGGACTGCAAGACGTTGCGAACGATCATCGGTTTGAAGACGTTCAACTCGAAATGCCCGTTGCTCCCCCCGACGCTCACTGCTACCTGGTTCCCCATCACCTGTGCAGCCACCATCGTGATCGCCTCGCACTGAGTGGGGTTGACTTTCCCCGGCATGATGCTACTCCCCGGCTCGTTCTCGGGGCAGAACAAGCTCCCCCAGTCCACAGCGAGGCCCGGAGCCAAGGAATCGGATGTCGTTGGCAATCTTCATGAGACTGACAGCCGTCACGTTCTAGCGCTCCGTGCACCTCCACCATGGCGTCTTTCGCGGCCAGCGCTTCAAATTTGTTGGGTGCGGGGACAAACGGTAGTTTCGTCAGCTCGGCTAGTTTGGAGCAGACTTTCTCGTCGAAGCCCCTGTGGGTGTTCAGTCCGGTACCGACTGCCGTTCCTCCGATGGCCAGCTGGTACAGTCGCGGGAACGTGCCTTCGATTCTGGCAATATCGTTGGTGATCTGTTGTACATAGCCACTGAACTCTTGACCCAGACTGAGGGGGACTGCATCCTAGAGTGTTTGGAGGCAACGAGTGAAGAAAAACACAACATTTTCACATTTACTAAAGAGTGCAAAAACAAAACACAAGTATTGGGACACAAGAAAGGTCCTTCTAAGAGTTTATGCTAGGACTTTTAGAGCAGAAGAAAGGTTCATCTAACGTTTTCAATACACTCCACTCACCTGAGTGTGGGTCCTCCCGATCTTGACAATGTCGGCAAACTCTTGGCTCTTCTCAGTGAGAGCTCGGAGGAGTGTGGCCAGGCCGGGGAGGAGCCGTCCGTGGATCTCTCTGGCCACTGCCACGTGCATGGCAGTGGGGAACGTGTCGTTGGAGCTCTGGCTCCGGTTCACGTGGTCGTTTGGATGGACCGGGTCCTTGGAACCCAGCTGCCCTCCCAGCAGCTCAATGGCCCTGCAATCAGCAACATAGTAATTATGCAGTCATGATGCTGTCGAACAACAATAAATTTTCCTTCCTATTTTTAGAGCACCCCCTTGTACTACAATGCACGCTAAATATTAATGGCCTCACTGTTTTTATGAAGAGCAGTTATACTATGAGCATCAGTGTGAGCAATAATGTAGCAGTTTATCGAAACTATTATTTCCCTCATGACATAGCAGACACACCTGTTACTGATGACTTCATTGACGTTCATATTGCTCTGAGTTCCGGAGCCAGTCTGCCACACGACCAGCGGGAAATGATCGTCCAATTTCCCCTCGTACACCTCCGTCGCAGCTGACACGATCGCGTCCGCCAGACGAGCGTCTAGACCGAAATGGTCTCGGTTGACTTCAGCACACGCTCGCTTGAGGATAGCCAAATGCATGGATCACTGGCAACTAGGAAAGTAGGGGAATAAAGGAACACACATTGACAAACACATTCTCCAATACCTGGGTATATAAAAAGAATAGAGCCAAGTATATACACAATTCCTCCAGTTGTGTATAATGTGCAATGTACAGCATGTTACGGTCAACGTACAGGCATTCGCTCAGTTTCTCCTCCAATGTCAAAGTTCATCTTGGAGCGAGCACTCTGGGCTCCCCAGTAGCGGATTCGGCCGGCACCTCCAGCTCTCCAAACGTGTCCCTCTCCTTACGAACTCCACTGGCCTGGGAGGGCACATACATCATTACTGGCAAACCAGAAGCCCCTACTCGTCTAGTCTGCATGGATGGTGCGTGAGACAATGGCTGAATCGATCCTCAAGCTAAAGTCAACAGCAGCCACACACATAGAATGCAACACTCTGCGGCTAGCTGAACTGAAACAAGCAGACATTGTCGTGTACGTACGTAGCATCGAAGGCACAGGTGTGAAGCTGAAACGGCCGGATGGTGGGTAAGACTGGGATTGTGAGGAGTCGCAACTCTGCCCCTGCGACTGAGCACTGCTCGAGACCAGGCTCTCAGTGAGACAACTCGCGCCTGCAGGGGAAGAGTGCAAGTGGGGACCAGGAAGGCTCAGACTACTCTGCTATCTCTATAGCTATTATCATGCAAATACTAATAGTAACCTCCATTGAATGTCACGGGTGCAAGAAGATGTGGACAAAACTTACCATGACTAGCTACACCTCTGCTCTACCCACTGGCTCTGCAAGGATGGATCAACGGTCTTTATGCGATCAAGGTCAGTGCATGAGGATCGATAATCACGTGCACCTACCAACCTCCTCGACCTTCGCGCTCCCACGCGCGCGCGCGCATGCGCATGAGATGTGCCGTACGAAGATGAGCTCCATCGCCCTGTTTTTGAGTTTCCACGTCCTCCTGTCTTGCTACCAACTGACGTTCGCTCAGTCAGACGACGAGCCATTCATTCTAGTAGAGGATGATGTTCTGCCATTCTGCGATGAGCAGCAATTCATCACCTTCAATGGAACCCATCTCGTATGCCGCAACATGAGTGAGTGGTTCTGAAGTAGGCTACGAATATTACCAAAATTTGTGTCCTTTCTCTCAGCCGAGAGACCGTGCAACTGCCCTGTAATACTCCCAGATCCACCTCCAGGTTTGCCCAATAAAATCTGCCATTGAGGAATTGTGTTAGTTCTCAGCACCCCATTTCAGGCTGCCAACATTTTCCGCCACCTCCCCGCGGTGGATTCCTCTGCCTCCGTACAGAAGCCACAATCTACTGCTCCGTGCAGTGCGACAACACCTCAGAGTTCTCTAGTTTCCCATTCAACCCATACCGCTGTGGACCAGAGACAATTTTTTATGGAAAGACCCCGCAGCAGCCTCTTATAAGGAACTGCCCCAGTGTGACAGTAAGCCTATGTATAGTTTCAAATACCACTCATTTTTTTTATTAGACTTCAGGTACTCCGTCAGACTATGTTCCCTGAGAGCAACTATATCCCTGTTCCCTGTGATCAACTAACGGAAGAGCAGAAGAGGGAGAAATTTGAAGGCTTGCTGATGGATTTGCAGTGGATCTACGGATGCACCAACTGTGACTTGGAACAGGCCTTTGTTGACTGTCCACCAGTGCCACCCAACTCTCAATAGACCACACTTTGTGATTGACGTATAGTATGCTTGCCTCATTTGTCCATTGTTTTCTGTTGCCTTGTGAACGATGGCACAAGATTTGTAACAAGTTGCACTCACAGCAGAGTTATTGTGCAGCAGAGTTATTGTGCGTTGGAGGTCAAATATAGTAACTCTAGTCTAGTTCCATAACTCTGGAGTATAGCTAGTGCTGCAAGCAGATATGGTCGGAAGAATCGAAGTGTCTATGTCCGGCACAAATGGACGTGTCAGGAAGTGTCAGTTAGCAACAGTCTGCTGGATATTTGCAGGTCTTATTTTGACAGCCGAGGCATTTAATACGGCTGAGCAGCCGGCAGGGGAGGAACCGCGCGGCATTGACGGAAGTGCAAGCGGGAGCCCACCGGCACCGGTAAGTCTCTCATCGCATTTCACCGTTACTTTTCCATGACTAACACCATCTCTTAGGCCATGTCCATCGCTGTACCGACATGCTCGCGAGACGACGAGTTTCTTACCTCTAACGGAACGCACTTGCTCTGCCGGAGATTACGTACGAACGACGCGCGCATACGCATGCGCAAATTACTTCTTTTTCCCCCCGCAGCTCCCTGTACATGTTTTGTTGATGGTGCAGAACCCGAACCTGATCCCCCCGTCCCGTTACCTCCAACAGGTAGCCAGAGTCCTTGTGTACAGTCACAAACACAAGCAAACCCATAGGGGTAATGCTAGCAACAAACACCAAGCACAATAACTCCGATTTTTTAGATCAAACCCTTGTGTAAATATACATTCATATCAAAGGATGCACTGTGTATGATCCCCCACTGAGAGGAGCAACTGCCTGCTACCTGGACACAACTGCTACCCTCATGTACTGCCAAGTCTACTGCGATCACAACTTTGAGTTTCTCACAACGCCTCAAAATCCCTACTCCTGCGGTCCTACCACCAACTTCCAGTGGCTCGATGTCACAGGGAGACTCATTACTACATTCCCCGAGTGTACAGGTGTGGACAGAAAAACATGTTTTAAAAATACTGTTCATAGTAAAGCACTTTATGACACACATTAGTACATACATTATATCTCATCCTTGCTCGACATAAAACTCATCCTTTTCACAGGTTTACTTTATAAATGCTCATGTTTTATTTCCAAAGCTCACAGGATTACTATAGGTACTATACACAGCCAGGTCAACTACCTCCCTTCTCCCTGCTACGGACTAACAGACCACACCATTCTTGCCATTATGGATGAGTTTCGCGAGATTCTGCGCCTGGTCGGCGTCTCGGCACCCCCAGAGGACATCTTCATGCGTTGTCCATCGTTTGATGGCAGGGTCTACATCTACAATGATGTTTTGGTCCGCGCTACACACAAACGGAAAAGGCAAGCAATTCAAAATGAAAACAAAATATTTCACACAAATGACGAGGGAAACTCAATTCACTAATGTGCTACTTTTTCTATGACTATATAAGTAATATTGTGTAAAGAGACTGGAAAATTGTGTGAAGTTATAATCTTTTAGAATTTTCCCGTGTTATATGTTGGGTATTGCAATAAGTGCTGTGTTGATAAACAGAGCGTGAGTCACTTGCGGATGGGCAACAGTTTAGAAACAGAAACAAACCTATGGGCATACAGGGTATAGGATGAAGGGGCATACAGGGTAGCTATGTGCAGTGAATTGCTTCTACTAACAGTGGTGAGTGTGTGTCACTTTCTATGGAGTTCCAGTGTCTCGTACTGAGATGACTCATCCAACGATTTAAGGTTGATAGTCTGGTACACTGCAGAGGATTTCTTCGATGGTCGTGAAAACGTTTCTGCAGTGGGTTATTTGTGCATGTTGACATACTGGAGGTCGAAGCTAAGTGAGAGGTCTGTCTCACCGCCACTGGTCTCTAGGGTGATCGGGGCCGGTGACTGAGATTTCTGTTTCTTCTTCCCCTTTTTCCTGCGAGGCATGGGCTTGGGCGTCTCTTCGCCGGTCGACAGAGTGGGACTCCTGTTTTTTGGCGCAAAAATAGGGGAGGGCGGGAGAGGGCGCTGTTGGATCTTGCTTCGATGCTCTGGTAGGGACCACTCAGATCAGAGTGACTGGCAGATTTCTTGACCGCCAGCTCTCGATTCTGTGGTACAAGTGGTGTCATGGATGCCGAGGGAACGAGGTTACTCCTGTCTCTCATCCCAAAGGGAGGATAAAAGTCGTGGTCCATTCTCTCAGAGTCCAAGAAACTCCGAGCTGGTCTGGAGAGTGGCGGAGTGGACCAGTCCGAGAGGTTGGGAGTCGAGCAAGAGACTCTCGGTGGCTCCAGGTCAGTGTCCGTGATCCAATACGACGGATCTGCGGCACAGAAAATAAATGTTCGTCTATATACTGTGACTACCTACAACAGTTTTTTATGCTGCATAGCTAGCTATACCTTTACTTCTTGGCATTGTGTCCGCTCCACTTTTCTTTTTGTATGTCCTAATCTTTCGACCGAGGAAGACGACAACGATCATCAGGATAAGAGTGGAGCAGAGAAAAAATCCCGTAGAGGCTATCAGCCCGTAACCGACAATGCCGTCCAGCTCCAGCGACGACGACGACGTTGGGGTAGAGCTTCCACCAGGCGTGCTTACTGGGCTTGGGCATGATATAGTGGGGCTTATGGTAGAGTCAGATCCCATGCTATCTCTGCTGCTACTACTAATGGCCACCGTCGATGCTGTATAGAAAAACGACGAACTCATTGCTTCTCGATCTCGTAGTTGTCAAAATAACGCAGAAAAGGTTTTGCGCATGCGCATTATTAAAATTTCACGTCAAAAATCCTCTAGCAAGGACATAAATTTCGGTCGATTCTTTTCTCGTGGACTTGAGTCTGCATTCTTTGACAGTCTTGTAACTCTCTTTCAGGGAAGCCAGAAATCCTGCATTTCATGGGAATTGAAATGAGCAGTTTCCACATTACAAGGGAATAATGGCAGTGCATCCTATGTATATACCAGAGACATGTGCCCCCTGCAGAACCTTGCAGAGGAAGACTCCTCCATCGCAGAGCACTTCAGCAGCTAGCTCAGATGCTGCTTGACACAAATCCTGCACAGAACACCCACATCAGCTTCATGCAGGGGATCATATCGTATATATGTTCACCATTATTCTGTGGTGATCCAAGTCGTGCATACCTGATGCATTCGGTGCCATGTCACTATCATAAAAAGGCTAGATCAGTCGTCTATGCAAGAATAAACACCCAACCTCATGACAATGTCGGCTTTTCTACCATTGAGATAGGTCATTATTTTAGCGTGTGTCTCTTGTTCTTGTAGATCGCAACCACCCAGAGTCACAGCACCAGGTATATCTGGAACGGCTAAAAGGTTTTCAGGGGGGAACTAATGGGGTCAGGGGTGAGACAACATGACAGAGTTAGACTCACATCCAATGTCAACTGAGAGAACCATCCCGGCTCCCCCTGACACTAGAGAAAGATCAACAAATGCTGATAATGGCAAGAAGCTAAGGAAACATTGTGATTTGCCAGATGAAACACTTCTGTGTGGACACACGTACACAGTTCTTGGTGACTCAGATGGACAGTCCCCGTTCTGTGTGCGGCGACCTGGGACCAGGACCCTGAGGTGGAACAGACAGAGAGGCTTGGCTCTCACTCTGGCAATCAAATCCCAAAACACAACACGATAAAGCTGAATGACGTTTCCATCTCTAGTTTACAAACCGAGAGTGCAAACAATTCCAAGTGTGAATGCCGTA